ACCTATTCATTGTTGGCCACCCCTGGTGAGTATATATGATATAAAACACGAGTATTCGATGTTTCGGCACAAGTGAGACTAGCATCGCCTGTCTGTGTAATGATTTTCACAATTGAAATTAACGTATGTACACGCCACACGGCACAATGACGTCCGTAAAGAATCGTGTCTGAACAAAAAATTATATTGTTACATCAAGATTTACAACGATTATAGGTATACATGTTTTACTCAAATATATTATTTAATATTAAGTCATCGTGTAGGTGACTAGGTACTTAATACCTACTAACATAATATTATTATTTCATGTGATACGCGTTTAAACCGGCACACGATGACGACCACAGTTAATCTGTCGAAGCACTTCAACGTTTCTAAAAATGTGTGCTACAAAACCTGTATATAATGTTACAATGCGTTCTAATTTAACGTATATTGTGAATGCAATAATTCAATTATTTCCATCAATAACATATTTTTATTCAATTTAGTGAATTTTATTTTGAAATGGAATTTGAATTTAAATAAATAATAAACTCTATATTGTTTTTTTATTTCAACGATGTAAATAATTAATTTAAACTTGATTTTCTGTAATAATTTGTTGATATTTTTTCTTTTTACTTACAGTGATACGATGATAGTTTTAAAATCGTTCAGTAATACAGTTGTAAATTAATATGTTTCGTTTTACATTATTATTGAAAACATTTTTCTACATTAATTTTTCCTCTTTAAATAGTTATTTCTAAATACCTCCTTGTGTATTTATATTCCCATATTTTATGTTGGTATAATTTAATTGTTCCAGACTCACGTGAGAAGTCAAAATATAGATTAAAGCAAAAAAAAACTATTCGAAACGTTAATCAACATTAAAATTCATATTTTATAAATTAAATATGAAATGTGATATAAATGTTGATGATATTTAAGTAATGTTATAACAAGGTTATAATGCCTATAATAATTGACAAATAACTAAATACCTAACATGATTTTTAAAAAACGCGCTCATTGGATCATTAATAACCAACTAAATATGGTTGTTAAGCACTTAACTACATTTGTAACGACATTTAACTATATAGTAAAAGTAAAACACCAATTATCATATAGTTACTCACAATCATGATATATTTAGTCGAACATTAACTGTTTTAAATAAGACGTCAGTGTATTCAGGGTAATTTTTTTTGAGGTAAACGCTCATCAGCTCGAAAAAAATTGATGTTAATTTTTTAAATGATATAAAATCATTATAAAATACAATACAATTTTTTTCTAAAAATTTTAATACAAGAAAATTGAATTTCAACCAAGTTATATTGAGCAGTTATAAATACGAACATTTACCGGCAGAGGACCGATCAAACCGGCCAGCGGCAACGCTGGGCCAAGAAGAAGAACGTGAACCCGACAAACCACGGATTCCCACAAATCGTCGGAGGTGTCACCGACCACGTTCTTCTTATCTCCAATGACACCACGGGTGGGGAACGACCATACCGGACAGCAAAAACCAACCCGAACGTGACTCGAGAGCGGCGGACTCCGGTCGGCTCGTGAAGAGGATGACCAGAACGAGACAATCAGGGTGGCGGACTCCGGTCGGCCCGCCAACACGGACCTGTTACGGGAATACGAGGGCGACGGACTCTGGTCGGCCCGCGAAGACCACTTCGAGCCGACAGAAACAAATAATGTAATATAACATGAATACCTCGTATTATATAACTTAGGACAATGTCGGGGAGTAATTCAGGGATTGTCTGGATTACCCCCACGTATGTATAATTATATGATTGATGTCAAATAAACGATGGCGGCGTCGCGGAAGTAATGCGCAAGCAGTCCCCGCGGCGTCGTCGGTTCAAACTGTAAAAAAAAAAAAAAAAAAAATACGAACATTTAATACTTAGATAAACTGGGTGAAGTGGCACGTTTATATCCCGCAAAATATTGGTCAACTAACCCACTCATCTTTATTTTAAATATAATTATGGATTATTTTATAATTATAAATAATTATTTTAGCTAACTAATTAACTACCATTTTCAATATAGGTTTCTATACTTTCTATATCTTTACGTATAGTCAATATAGTCATTAGAAAATCTATAGAGTAATAATATGATTTAATTTCATCCACATTGTATACGAATCAATGAATGCATTCTAATTAATTGGTTTATGAAAAAACGGTAAAAATATATTTTCAAAAAAAAAAAAAAACAAACAAAAACGACATTATAGTGAGGTCGATCTATAAATATCCAATGAAATTCAATGGTCGGCCAAAGGATTTGTAGCCTTAAAACCGTCTGCAAAACGTATTGTACAAGATATATCTGTGTATCCCTATAGATATGCTCGCAATAATATTTTTCAACGCAGTAACACGTACAAACGCGTCCTGTAAGTACTGTTATAATAATAATACGGCTTTGAGCGTAAAACGTTGAAATTTATTATGTGTTTATGGAACGTCGGTGGCTTTATAGTGTATCTAAAAAAAAATATATACCTACTATTATATAGTAACCGCTAAATCGCCAAGCTGTATTCAACAGTAAATTACATCCCGAACACGTTTTAGTCATTTGACCGCGTAACTTTATCCCATTCAGCTACCCGCATGTATTTTTGACAGGGGTGAGATCTCGGACAATGTATATACATATATTGTACGAGATTCTACCCATGTCGCAGCTAATTAATATGTATTAGTATTATTATTATTTATTTATTTATATATTATATATACTATTTATAATCAATGAAATTAGTTTTTTGGCCACTTCGATTTTGAAAAACATAATATCTCCGGTGATATCTTATATAATTAAATGGTAGAATTTGAATGATTAAATGTTGATTTAAACATGTAACTGTACTAGCGCGTATTGTATTTCTATCATATAAACTTGTCGCTAGCTCGTTTTATAAATAATTATAAATAAGCATTAAATAACGGTAACGAGTAACTACAATAGAAACTGTTTTTATACATTATTAATAGTTGAGTTGTTTATAGTGATCTCGTACTAAATGTTGAAAAAAACTTCAGATTAATCGTCAAAACGAGGAGAAAAAAATTGAAGTTTGAAAATTCGAACGTTGAGTATTTCATTTAAAAGTATAAATAGGGGCGGTGAACGAAGGAATCGGTCCTTAAAAAATCCCACCTCACTACTCCATTAAATTTCCACCTATTACATTCTGTTTGTAGATTGTATTTATCTTACGTAATACTTTATACTATTGAATAATACATACGCTATGGATTTATTTTTATTCTCTTGTGTAGGCACCTACTTATTTGTTGTAGTTCAAATTTGATGACATCGAAACGACTTGTTATAAACTTTGTAGAATTGACCGAAGTTTGGTACGTTGTAAAAGTTAAACAACGCCGAATGTCACGCTAAATCCTGATAAGGTCGGTCACTAGGGATTTTTAGCGACGTTTCGTACTATATTCTTTCCTCTCCCTCTTTTCTCGGCTCTAAACTTTTTTTGGATAGATTTGAGCTTTGTAAAAATATTAAATCACACCTAACACACTATATATGAATCCTTGAAGCGTGCTCTTGGTCAAATTTCCTGTTTTATCCTCTCCCAAACTATACAATGTTTCAGAATATGTCGTAAACATGGCTTTTTACTTAAAAAATAATGACGTTTGAAAAAAAATTAATTACATATTATAATTACCAGCAGTAATTAACATAAATCATATTTCGAAATTACTTGTCCGTAACAAATAAACCAGATGAATATTTAAGGCTTATTGATAATATTTATCAACTATTATACAGTGTTGACTTTTTTCAAAGCCTTTATTCAATTTAATTTATGCTTAATATCATAGATTAATATACTTTAACAACATTTAATGACTACACATATTATATGATTTAATATCTTAAAAATAAACAAAACAATAAACAAGCCCGTGACTTAAGGGGAAAAATCATCAAAACAAAATTATTAATACTTTATTTTCATGGGTACGTAGATACTCAAAATTATTTTTAAGACGTTATGTCGTATAACAATATTTAATACGATGAAAAAATATAATTTTTTTATGCTTTGCACTTCGCATATGTATCATAATATAATTTAAGCACTACAAAATAATGTGTAATAATTTAATAATATACGTTAAGTTATTATTTATTAATATTTTCAACCAAATATTCAGTTTTTGTTAATACAATATAATGTGAATAACATAATTCTATATACCTACGTAATAACTAATAAGATCGTTCGCGTTAAATATTATAATGAATATAGATAAGCGTATAAAGGTGCATACCAATATCATAAGCTACATATATTTTTTTTTATAAATTATAACCATCAGCGTTGTAAAAATAATTATTTTAGTATAATATTTTGTTAGTTAGCGATACAAGCTTGATAACTTATTTTCCAATAATATATTATTATAATACAGCTATAATGATCGATAATTTCATAACTGTATACTATATGGGCTCTCAACTTCAATTAAAAATACATTTTTATTTGTATTCAATATCAGGCAATTTTATATTTGACAAAATTCACGTTCGTACTTGCGTCCTGAATTCTACAAAAATAAGCTTTTAAAAGTTTTAATTTTCATTCATCATTTCAAGAACATTTTTAAAAACGTACTCAGACTATAAAATATTAAACCAATTTTTAACGGCATTTTTAAATAATTTAATATTCTTGGACATTTATCAAACATCTTATAGATTAAATAAAAAAATTATTTAGATTTAAGTAATATTATTCAAAAATAATTCTTTAATAAATTTAACGATTACGTTAATTTTTTCATATATTATAACTCTGCACCGTAAATAGATCAAAATAATTAAATTACCGTGGTCAGCAACCAAAATCTTCTAATTCACTACTCCCAATTATCGGCATTGTTTTTAATTTTAATAAATTAAATACGTTTATTTGTGTAGATATTCAATCATAACATTTTAAAAAAAATGTAAGGCAAAGAATAGAATTTTAATTTTCTAGAATTTTCAAACTGACAAAAAATAAAATAGTATTACAAGTAATGATAGTGTGAAAAATAGAATTGTTATAATGTTTTCTACGCTTAGGTATCAGAATAATTTTTCATGTTTTCTTCATTTACCAAATAATCATATAATGTAATAGTGAATAAAAATTAAGTAACATAATTATATAATAGGTATAATACGCAGGGACGCACATCTATAAAATATATAAAAAAATCCTTGAAGAAGTCCATTGTAAACGCAAAAGAGGGTGATGAATTTAACGAAGTGCTTACCTGATACCTTGTACAATGTAATAATAATAATAATATGGTTTATATTGTAAAAGACATCGCAGGTGTTAAAAGATAGTTAACAGTAACAACATAATATTATAATAAACATCAAGTTATATGAAATGAATGCACTATGCAGGTATATAATATCATATGAGATAATTCATTTGTAATACCCAGAGACACTATAATTTTCTTTGTCGTTTTTCATGATTTCGAATCTAAAAATGTTTTCATTTAATATTATTATCGAGTCTTCGTTTTTATTTATGACACTGCATTCTTACAAGCAAACAAAAACTAACGTTTCAATATTCGTTTTCTATGCATTTAAATATCTATAACGACAGCCAGTCTACGTATTTTTAATTATTATAGTTGAGAGCAGAACACTTTTTTAGACTTTCTTCGTATATACTATTAAACGCTTTGGACGATAAAAATGATTCGGTTAGTAGCCACTTAATGGATCGCGTTGAATGGACCGTCCAATCGTTTGAGGACGTCAACGACTCGGAGGGTACGGCCCATAGAGAGGGTTTTTTTCAAGTATCTACTTATGTAATAATTATAATATTATAACGTGCAAGTACAGGAGTACAGGACATCGAAATCACGAGGATGGCAGCACCCTACTGCAGCTTCTGGCTGGCGGCGGCAGCGTATACAGCACTTTAGTGGACGGCCTGTTCTCCCAGTCGCCCGGGAACCGTTCGCCGGTGCTCCTGTTGCATTGCATGGACAGCGTACTCTCTTCGTACACCTGGTGCAGCACCCGACTCCGCATCGGTGTCCACTCGGGCTCGTTGTAGTTGACACTCACAGCCTGCTCCGGCGATGTCCGCTGTCGCTCCCATCTGCGAACACGTAACGGTCCTTGTGTTATATTATACAAACATAATATAGCCGTATTATTATTTTATTTTTTTATCGTATTAAAAAACATGAACGCCAAAACAGGTGCAATGGAAGTTCAAGAATAAATTATAAATATACGACCTACAGTAATTGTTAATCGATATTAAATGCACGATACGTGGTTATGAAGTCTGAAGTATAACGTTGTGCGATGAACACAATATTATGCAAGGCACGGAAATCATCACAAACCAACACATTATTCAGTGCTGTAAACCATAATTTAATGTTTAAACATATTAATTCATTTCTGAGAGAGTATGGGAAAAAAATCAAAACGTTAAAGTTTGTTTCCGATTGTGAAGTGCGATAATCCAATTTTTCCACAGTGTGGAATGTTCTGAGGGCACGTTGTAAACCCAAAGTATAAGGTTAAAAACTATTAAAACTTCGTTCGTTGTATTGGAAGTTTCGAGTAAAAATTAAAGGGATAAAAAAAGTACATTCGAGCGTCAGGTTTTGTCGATCCTGTGTTCGGCATCTTTATAGTTAAAACTTAAAATTTATTTTTATTCGTTTATACACATTTTTATCGAAATAAGTATAGTAAATATTAATCTTACCGGCGTTTATTTGCATGCATCAAACACATTTCATGACTGAGTATTGCATAATAATTATATTTTGTATTTATTATGTCATAATCATACGATACCTATACATAATTATATAATAGTGCACGATAGATCATCAAAATATTCAATAATAAAATATAATATCCAGTAGATGTCTACAATTTATATCTAATTATAACAATAATTAATAATTATAATATAATGCACTAAACTCTTAAGATAAATATGAAATTCAAATCCACAAAGAAAATTAGAAATCTACGAATATTCTATTATTGATTATTGTATACCTACATATTGAAATCGTTGGATCGAATTTAGTACCTAGATACTAACAGAGCTCATGTCTAGCAAAAAAAATTATGTTTTTATTTATGTATTTACATTTAACAAAACAGCTGAATTTTAGAATATAAATCATTATTACCTACTTATTCTATAATATACGTACGTGTATTTTCTTTATTATTATCGATTCACACGATAAAACCACAATCGATTGCATAGAAAATGTTTTGAAATACGATCATTCACTTTCCAATTATTGAACAACTTAAACCGAGTGAAATTAATATCTACGGTTTGAATGTATAGAAAATCGACCTACTCATAAAATTTTCATATTAAGTTCATAGTCGTATTGTTATTCCAAGTATAATTTTCACAAATGTCCGTGGTACTATGTTCGTTTCTATTGACACGAAACTGTCATTATCAATATAATATTAACATTTTTTTTTTTTTATTGGTTTTGAAATAAAAAATGTCTGCTTCGACTACTAAGGCAATAAGCCATTAAATTTGTTGTATAGTTTACATTTAATAATCACTTATTCAAAATACACGTTGATAGAAAAAAAAGAATATAAATAGATAATTAAATAATAGTCTTGAGATACTATTTAAATAAGTATGAACATTGCAATTATTGTTTGTATCTTATATTGGGCTTAATATTTTTTATTGTGTTAGTGTGTTGATTTCGTTGTCTAGGGTTGGACCTAAACTTATCCTGATAAAGTGGCTCATTTTGAGTTCTTCTCTTTGATTTTCATACTGTCTGCATTCCTCGAAGATATTATTAACATTTTATTTGTATTTATAAATTATCATTACATAATACAATATTAAAATGTAAGACAAAACAGTTATGTGGTTTATCTGAATATCTAATGAAACACGACATGCATCGAATACGTTCATATTAAAGTAACCAATCACGGTAAAATTATGTAACAATACGACGCACATTATACTAAGTGTTCAATGAGTTTAGAAACTCTTAATTACTGTATCTATATTTTAATAACGATATGGAACAATAATAGATAATAAATATTCATAATAATCTCATTAATTATATCATATAATCGTTTATCAGTCTCAATAAGTCTATAATGATCGTCTCAAAACTTATTGAACATCATATAATATAGTACCTATACATATATAATTATACCACATGGCTAAAAATGTGTCTTATTAAAAAAATAATCGCATATTATATTAAAACGTAAATATCTATAGTTTATTATTATTGAGAATAGTGATTACTGAAACTGAATACTCACTCGTTCAGAAATTTGAAATAGCTTTTGAGGTTCTGATCACTTATTGAACTCTTGCAAACTTCTAATTCTATCTTGGGATAGTAATACACGTAGTTGACGCACATTTCATCAGTAATGCTGAAACCGCCGAGTGTAATATTTTGTCTGTTTTCAGTGTTATAATGGCACGTAGTTATTAATGCATCCCCCTATATATTATAATATTGATTATTGTATTAAAATCAAAATTTATACTTTTAGGTATACTATTATTATAAGTATTGAATATATTTATAAATATATTTTCTTACCAACATTAGTTTTAAAGCACTAAGTTTAATACTTTTGTCTTTTTAATTTAATATTTGACTTAGTAATAGTTAATAAATTAGTAAAAACTAATAGATAAATTATTTGAATAATAATAATAATATTTTATACTCAATCATAGTTATAAAGTCACTATTTGATTTTTAAATATAAATTATTGATGATTAAAATTATAGAATGTAGATTAATAGTTTTTAAATTTGAACTAAATAACTTATAAAAATAATCTTTAAGTTATTATTAATATGGCCAATATAAGACCCTAAAAATAAAATATATTTAATTGATATCTTACAATAGTATTCAACTACTGTTCACGCATCAAAAATAATCAATAAATAAAAAAAATATATCAATAATAATCATTTCATTACACGAACTCGTTTTTTTATTATTATTATTATTATTATTATACAGTCATATTGAAAAATATTTTATTACATTATAATTTTTTACGGCAGTCAATTGATTAAAATTAATGGTACATTTTTGGTTAGGTGATTGGCTTTTAATTTTAAACTTCGTGATAGGTACCTCTACTATAGGTATTCATTTTTTACTACGACATTTTATATAACTCGTTAAACCAACTGTCGTTACACTTTACATTTAATCATATACCTGCATGAACTTAATTAGCTATTTGATGACATTTCATGTTTCAAACACCATTAGGACTACTGTTTTTTATTATTATTATTATTATTATTATTTATCGTCCTAATTCTCATAGCTCGTTAAATCGAGTAATCATGAAAACTTTGTTTTGTAAAATATTTCCATTAGCAATGGTATTATATTATATTAACCGCATCAATTTAATATATCTAGCAAATGCGATATTGTTGTATGTATGAATAAAATAATTTTACAAATTCATACTGAAAATTATAGTGCAACTATGGTCTTTAACGTACAAACTTATACAATGGTAATAAATAATCGTTGAAAGTATTCAAGAAGTTAATTTATGATCATATCAAGTTTAATATTAAACAATTTTAATCCCCTTTCCCATAGTTGAATTTTAAATATGCCGCTGACTAATGCTAGTATATATACACTAATACACTATATACAAAGTGTTTCATCATTTTTTTTTTCCATAAAAAATAAATGTATACTAGTTATAACTTTTAAAATTTTTAAAAATTAAGGATCGTATATTTTTAAATATTATATTTTTTAGATTTGTATAACATCAAGTGACGATTGATATACCAATCAATAATAACCGCCCTTTTTTTACAAATTGTTAAGCAGATATATTATTTTTTAATGTTGATGGTTCTAATTTAAAACTCAAATGAGTAGTTTTGAAGTTGGATATTTAACTTTTTGTAATAATAAGGATACTCGTAGATCCGTCATATACGAGAATATAGGCTTGGAAGATATGAGAGTTATATTATGTTAATTTTAAAATTAAAAGAAACTATTACAAATTTATATTAATACTTTAATATTTTATAATCTGTAAAAATTATCTGAGTATTTAATAAATATTACATTAAATATTTTTAATTTTTGTAACACTATTTTTAAATATTAAACCTAACAGTTTATGCGTTTTAGTAATTCAAAAACTACTTATTTAGATTTTAAACTACTACGATATATAAATAAATAACATATATAAAAAAAAAACCATCTGTTTAATCATTTTCAATAAAAATAGATTATTTTTCTAATGAAAAAGATTAAGTTTGTACTGTACGAGACATTCTTTAAATGGTGCAAAAAAATCAAATACCTACCTATATAAAAAAATATTTTTATTCTTATATGTATTCTCAAAAATTTATAAAACCAAAATATAAATAATTTCTTTATTAAAGAAAAATGGGGATTTGCGTACTTGGTGAATCAACCTATATGTCCCCATTTTATAACATATTAATTTATAAGCTATCCAAATAGTGCTATAATACTGCAAATATTCCTATGTTTATTTATATTATACTTAAATATAATATAGTAAAATGCATTTATATTATAATATACTGTATGTCAGTGGCGTATTTAGGTTTTTGTCATGGGGGGAGGGGATATGACTTTATAAATGAAGATACCAATGAGAATATTGTACAATATATTGTAATATTTTAATTCTTGCAAATTTAATCAATTATTGATAAAAAAAAAAAAAATAATAATAATTTTTTAAATAATATGATGACTATAATTATTTGTGAGTATACAGCCTACGGAGGGGGGGATTTATCCCCTTGATCCTCCCCCCTGTAAATACGCCACTGCTGTATGTATAGGTACACTATATATGAGCAATGAAGATAACCCGCCGACGATTGATTGATTTCGGTTTATTGATCGATGAGGCATTGTTAATAATTAATTAAAACGGAAAAAATTCGACAAATAGATTGTATAGTATGTACCCATCTATGCATATAACGTGATATAATTATATTATATTACGCAGTTCCGTCGTTGCAGGTTGATTGAATCGCACACCGGCGAAACCCGAGGGTGTTTGCGCTGGGCGTTTCATCTTATATTGGTAATTATTTATTATTATTTATCACACTGTTATAATATTTTTTAGCTCCTTGGCCTGTATTATAAACACTGCATATTTACCCCGGCCGCCGCCGAAATTCCTATCTAAGACGAGAGTCTGCCATTGTATTTTATTTTCGTGACGTCGACGATAGACGACCGCAGCAGCTACGATATTATATACATTACAATCATTATTATTAATTTATAGTAACTAACCTATAAGACGATTTAAAGATAGACAATAGTAGCAAGTATACAATACAATACTATAGGTGCCTATTCGCCTGTATAGCTGTACAGTAAGATAAAATATTGGTGGGCGCATGTAAACTCCGCCACAAATATCTATTTAGTATCAATTCCGCTAGAATATAAAAAACAGGTAAAATTGAGTTCATGTGAACTCCGCCAGAAAAGAAAATCGTTGAGTAAACAACTGAAGCGTGAAGTAATGTGAGTATCGCTTAATGAATTTGTCAAAGTAATATTATATTGCTCCGTTCCAACAGCTTTAATAAACACATTGTAATTTTTGTTATTGCGCCTCAATTTCGACGTATGTCATCGCAACGGATATCAACGTACTTAATATGAGAAGGCCTTAATATTGGCGAAGGTTTCCGTATACTCATTATAGGTAAGAAAATAAAACAGATGGAATTTACATTAAACCCTTTCATATTCTTTTCATCTAAATGGTATTCTTACAGAGTTTACAATCGCCTCATATTGGTATACCTACAAACTACCACCGCCAATAATAATTAGGTATGAAAAATAAATTAAGTACCTATACTTACATATTGTATTGTGTGCCTTATTTCAGTGGCGGCTCTAGAGTTTGATTCCGGGAGAGGGGGGGGGCATAAGCATCACACACATTTTTTTTTTTTAATATTTTATAATATATTTATTCAAATGATTCAAAATCAGTGCCACATAGTACCCACATTAGTCATTAGTACAAAATAATATTATAAAAAATAAATATATATAAATAATAATTATATTTTATTAAACAAAATCTAATTTTCGATTTTTATTTTTAGCAAATCGATCTATAACTTGATCTATATCTATAGATATAGCTCGATAAGATATAATATTTTAATAAGGTAACTTTCGGTCATCTGCTCGCCTAAAATCGCCATGGTAAAATGAAGCAACAAGCATTAAAACGATATTACACTGAACATCTAAATAGAGAACCCGAGAGTCCCTATCGAAAAACCACATATGTACCTACAAATCTACTACGAACTAGCATACCAGTTTACCTATTACGCGAAAATACAAGATAACGACTAACGAGAATTTTCAATTAAATGATGCCTAATATTAGTATAATTCTAATATAATATAATATCATAAACTGTAATAATAAAAGCGTATCATATTATATTAAATTCACCTGTTTTTTTTTTTTTTTTTTGGGGGGGGGGGGGGGTAATAGAGCCGCCACTGTATTATTTTGTGTCACATCATTATACATTTCAATGTAAATTTTATGAAAATTTTACAAAGCTGTCTTATTATTAGAAAATATAAAGTTATATATAATTTTACTATGATATTATTTTAATATTTTATACACCTAATGCTTAAAATTGAAAATATTAAACACTTTGATAGAAAATCTTGGAGGCAGTAAACCTTTCAGAAAAGAAAGTCATCTCCCCTGCCTTTCCCGTGCACACGCTCATGATATTATTGTAGTTAATACGAAAAACGTGACTTACAGGAAGCACTCGCACTGGTTTATTAAGTAAACGAATTTCCTGGAAATGTGTGCTGTAATGATTGTCCCTGTTAAGTTCCGGCAATTCTTGTCCGTCGCGTACATGTTTTGTGTAGATCTTAGTGCCAGTAAGGTGAGTGTGCAATTGTGAACCAAAGATCTCAATTCCAGCCGAAGGGATACTCTAAAAGTATAAAAAGATTTAGTTTTAAACAATTTTTTTTTTTTACCGATCGATAAAATATGTACTAAATACCATTATTAAATTATAACGCGTCAAAAAGTTTCAAGTAAAAGATAAAGTATTTTATAAAGCGTCGTACTTTTTTGACTATGAACCGAGAATGTTCAATCTCATCAACTGATTCATCAGTCAATTAAAACTTACTAACATATTTACGAACGACATCTAGTGGTTTTATTTCTAACTAGGTAAATTAGCATTTAATTCTATAGATTCTATGAAGACAAAGTCATTTTTTTTTTTACAACTACGTTTTTAAATTTCGTTTTAAAGTTACAAAAAAATGTATGTCTAATAAATATACATATTTGTATCAATATTACGCATTATTTTTATAATTCACATTTTTTTCAAAGAAAATGAAACCCATGTAAATTAGAACTAAAATTATTTCTCATTGAATACCTATTATCTGTTTAAGTAGAATTTGTTATTGCTAATAAAAATGTTTTAAAAAGTTTTTTCATTAATTTTAAATTTAAATCAAAATAGTATACATTTAATCATGAGTAATTCATAAACACAATAAAAAAAAAATTAACTGCGAGTACAATTTAAGCATAATAATAATATAATAAATGAATGATTATAGCCATCTAAAATGTTTTGACACAAAATTATTGAGTCGTTTTATACATCGTATTCGTATATAATCATGTATTATACACAGACTTGTTTACTTTGAAATTAAATATTGTTTGTCATACATACACGAGTAAGCGGAATTTTTTAGATATATGAACTATAAGCCACCTTTGTACGGTAACATTCATCAACTAGATCGCGCTAGATAAATAAAAACTAATTTAAAATATTTATTCAAAAATAATATCCATCTACTTACGTCTCATTAGAAAGTTTTAATAACCTCTCATTATTTACACATTTAAAAACAATTTTATTTTGAAGTTGAATTTTATTAAAACTCGTTATGTTATACAAATACGATACTCACTTAAATTTTAAAAAAGTTAACATTACCTAGAATACTTAATTGATCTTTAAACCAGCACATTCATGTGAAATAATAACTATCATTACTCTCGTAATATATATTTCATCACGTATGACATAATATTATACTTACAAGTTATTCCAAATTATGTGGTGTGACAAAAATGGTGGAAATTATGCCACTCTCCCACTCTCCATCATTTTTATCACTTTTATCAAGTAAAATGTCAAATATACCCACCACACAACATATTCATATAATAATCAGATATCATACTAAGATTAAAATGCGTTAAAACTATATCGAAATGACAACTTAATTGCATATGTCGATATGTAACGTATTATTATTACCACAGCCGTGCATTCAGCAATACAATAGCCACTCAACGTGAAATCCTCTTGTTTAGGCGGTATGGCCATTTTGTCTGTATACTCTAAGCCCAATTCGATCACTCCTGCGTCGTATTTTCTCACATCCGGAGTAATGTACAACCGTATGCCAGAACTGTCTACCATACCTGCAAAACCACAGCAATAGTTTACAATAAAAACCGTATTATCGGAGAGAAGTGGAATAAATAAGCTAAATATTGATGAGAAACGTTGCCTTTTCTTAACCCGGGATTATTGTAGTGCACTTCCAACATGATATAGTTATTGAAATCAGGACCTCCGATGGGTAGTCCGGCCTCCTGTCACGGTAAAATATATACAGAACATGTTATTATAATAATACTGTCATCATCGATATTCGAAATTATAAATAGTCTCGTGGCGACGTGTCGAGTGTGAATGGTTTAACTGCGTTACCTCGGGATACACGAAAGGAGCTGCGCCCATAGCCCAGGCAGCCATCACTTTTTTGCACACTTGTGTCTTGTATGGCCGTTTATCCGAAAAACAAGGACCATTGTACAGTGGTATCCGACTGTCAGCACTGGATTCGCAATGGAACACCTCCATATGATGCACTACGCCTCGACTACTTTCTTCAATAACCGACTCAAACTGTTTTCGAATAAAAATATAAAATAATTAAACGCTGCAGATCGACTATTGCTGGTCCACTGTTTCTAATTTCTATAGTGTGATTTTAAGGCTAAAACACTTAGGTATTACTTATAAAGTTCAGAGAAGTTAGAAGAAATCATTTTAGATAAAACATTGGTTACCTCATTTTTAATACTTATATTATAGTATTAACTATTAAGTATAAACATATTAAATTTTCGTTATGCACTATTTCAAAAACTTGATTCGTCATTAATTCAGAAATATTGTTTACTTTTAATGGTGTAACTACTAATTAGTACTTTTTCTCTAAAATCACAATAGAACGCGTAATAACTAAAAAATTTTAATATTTAATTATACTTTAAACATTATACTAAAATGAACCAATTCTAGGACCCAAATACCAAGAGCCATTAAAATATTATGAACCGGAACTTATAGCTCAAACATTTTTAATCAACTAAAACTGATACAGAAAACTGTATTTTAAAAAAAAAAAACTAAACATTTTTCAAAATATCAGGTAATATGATGATTATTATTTATTTATTTTGTTTTTACCTCGTGATATTTTTTCCGTATAAACAGTGCTTTATTATAAAGACTTTATAATCAAATTAAATTTTTCAGAGTTATTTATATACATATTTGTTATTATTTAGAATATGTATACAAAATTATTTAGATACCAAAGAATAAGTAAAAAAAAAAAAACTGTTGAAAACTAATACCAGTTATTACCTGCACATTAAATAACTCTGAGTTAATATTTTTTTTTGAAAACTTATTAGTTATTAATAAAATAATTTAGTACTAGAACCGAATAAACAAAGGTACTCTTCTCTCATTGTAATCAGTATAAAAACATCAACGGTTAAAGTTTGGATTAATGTTTGGAAGTTTGAAGGAGTGAATTATAATATTAATTGTATATTTATTATTAATAGTAAGTTAACATATTGTGATGCTTACCCTAACGATATGATGTTTGAACGATAAATCCAAAGGCATTTTCATCACGTGACACCAATACGTCGTCTCATCCGCGGGAACATTTACCTTGGATACTAACACATCTATTTTGGATACTTTATCCGGCAATCGGACTGGTGGTGTTTCTGGTTTTAACAACTGGACTCTTTGCATACCCTTCGCTCTGGCCTGCGACACCAACAGTCCTTCTACTGAAAATAATGGACCACCACCCACCATCCACACGATGTGAGTAGTACCATCCTATATGTAAAATTATTAATTTCCATTTTATTGAATTTTATATCATAATATTAAACTAGGTATATTATAAATATAGTTCGAGTTTATTTTAATTACGTTATCTCGTAATTATTACCTCATCAATTATGTTTTTAATTTTTCAAAAAAAATAAATATTATATTTTAGTTTTAAGTTAGTACATTAAAGTTTCAGATTTAAACTTAGTAATTTGTATGGATTTACATATAAATTTAAAAAAAACCGTTTCAAAGTGTAATATTTGATAAATTATTATAAGATTAATTGCATATGTAATTATCACTTACTTGAATTAAATAATCGCGGTCGTCATCACATGTATCAAATTTTCGAGTAAATGTCAAAGCAATCCCACCTCCGTGAAATCGTGCCACATCAAAATCTTCACAATCCTGTCGCTCATCTACAGAAATTCTTCCAGAATTGTCGGTCCACGTATCCTGAATAAAAATTATTATTCTTTATTTTATTAAGTTATATCTTCATTATTTATATTGTATAGAACAATTATTATAATATGCTTTTTTGAATTATTGAATTGACTTTTTAAATAATTTCAATTCTATTTTAGGATAAAATGAACTTGAACTTTAAATTATCAATATCATTTACGTACCATAACACTTTTTGCTAAAAGTTACAAATTTTAACATATAATAAATGCCTCTTATAAGAAAGAAAATATTTCATGATATTAATATAAAAATACATTTTAAATTATAAAAACGCGTCATAAATGATAATTAAATATCAATATTTATAAATTATCAGTAATCCGTTGCAACAAATGATTTACAAAAGAAAAATAATTTTTTAACTGGCAATGGCGTAGTGGAATTTTATATCTATAAAATTTCTCTCACGTGCGTGCACAAATGTACAGTGTTTAAAAGAATATTTATAGGTATATTAAATTTATATAACTAGGGCTAGGAAAATAATATTTTAAAAAACTTTAAAATATGCATTCATTTATGCCCTTACAAATATTATAATATATGCTCTATAAATATGCAAAAGTGCTAAAATATGCTCTTAAAAATATTTTATTTTTTATTGAAAAATTAAAAATTATAAATTTATTTATTACCTATTAAATAAGATGTTTTTAATTTAATTTTGAAAACAAAAATATTGTACTTAGTCTCGAATATTATACTAACTATATTAACATCAAACGAAAACACATACAATACTAATAAACGAATTGACATCAACTAACCAAATTCGGAGTATTTGCCGTATTCCTTATCGACTGATTATGTTTTTCACTCCACACAAATCATTGGAAAAACAAAAGTAGATAGATTATTTAATTGTTTATATTAAACCATTTTAATCTATTTTTTTTTTCAATTTATAGAATATTAATATTAAATATTGTATAGGCATAATACGTACAAAATATTATTCTCTATGTCACATATTATATTGTTTTAAATTTTTTCTTTTAAATTAAATATGTAAAATGTGTACTTAAAATAGAAATATAACAAAAATATGCACTAAAAAGGAAAAAAGAGCTTAATATGCAAAATACGCAAAATTAAAATTATCGCTTTAAACTTTTAGTATTATGAAACAAATAATAATAATCTATAATATTACTTAGCTATGTTTTGAATGATTATTTAAAAACATGCAACTCTTATAAATCTCTAGCCTTACCTAATCTATCGTATATGATAAAAATATAATTTTTTTATTCTCAACTGTAAATTTCAATTAGTCTGACCAAAATCCAGCATACTCATAGTTTGAAAAATTAGATTTTAATTTTGAAAATATTTTTAGTTACTTATGAAGTTCTATACATTATATTATAAGATACGTTTTAAGTATTTTTCTTATAAATGAGTCTTCCAAAGCAAAATACATTATGCACTTAAAAATATAATCCCGTTTTTATAAATTTTTTTAGGTCTATATTGACTAAAAAATCACGGTCACTAATCTTCTTAATATCTTAATATGACATTTTAAAGTAGTTGACATTAAATAGTATATAATATATATTATATATATATATATATATATATATTTATTATTATACAAAATCGAAATATTTATACTATACAACAATTTAAAAAAAGCTTATTTACATACAACTTTATTTTCTACGTTTTATTACTTATTACAAAAAAGCAACAACTTAACTGTATATTGATACATTTATGTTATTTTTATTTTTTTTTTGTAATTTTATCTTACCAATTAGCAATATCTAATTGAACTTAATAGAACAAACAAAAAAAAAAGGTTTTTTTATATAAATCCTTCTCGAATTCTTCTTTAACGTATCGTCTTTCTTATTTTCAATCACGTATTATTATAATGTACCATTTGTTTATAAATAGTTTTAATATTGAACATTTTATCAAAAAATGTCAAAACCATTAAGAACCAAGAAGTGTATTATCAATTATGTAAATACCAAACATATACGAAAGTTAAAAGATTAATATAATATCTTAAATCTTTTTATAGGTAACTAACTAATAATCTAAAACTACATATTTTGAATCAATTCAAAAGTATTTTGATATACACTAAGATAAAACAAGCACATTTCATTCCAAAAACATTTAAAAAATAATAAATGTAGTACTCAGTTTTATATTTTTGAATAAAATATAATAAATTTTATTATTTAATTAAAAAAAATTAATCGGTTATTATTGTTAAATTATTAAATGAGATATAAAAATTTTTAAATTTTTAAAAAAATAAATAAATTGGTAATTAATAAATGGATTTTATTGTGAATTCCACTCTGGCATTAAAATACGATTAAATCGCTGAGATATGCATACTTATATCATTATCATTATAATAAATTAATTACTATACTATAAAAAATATACCTAAATAAATAAAAACACAACACACTAACTTCTAACGACATAAGTGCAGTGAGATCATCTACACATATCGCCGTGAAATCCAATACGCAAGATGGTCGTTTGAAGTAAAAAATAAAAATAATTTTAATTTTATGGTCCAAAATTCGATTTCATAGACGATAACTTTATTAATTTTACGTTTGGATTTGGCACCATTGAAGTCATTCGAAACCCAAAAAGCTTATTCCTAAATCTTCCTCAAACATACGAAGTACAGATTTGGCATAGTAGAATTAAATGATACAAGAAAAGTGATTTTGAAAAATATTATCGAGATTTAATTATATTATTGTCATCAGTTCGGAGCTTCGATAAGTGCAAATATGCTTATAGAAGTGAAAATAAAATATAATATTAGTCTATAGCATCTTTTATTCGTATATATTGTATATGAACTATATTATATATTTAAATTATGTTACACCCTCACAAAAAACATGAAAAATTCGAGCATTTTATACATTATAGGCAATTTTTGGAAAAATTGAATAATTATTTAAACATTCTTTTATATTTTTAGCATATTTTATCAAAATTCCCAGGAATTTTCAAAAACAACTAATCCATCGCAGACAGAGAGAAACTTTTAAAAAAATTATACCAAAATTTGTTGTATAAAATATATATTTTGTTTGTAGATTACTATATTATATACAACCATGGTGTAAATAATATAAGAATTAGGTATGTTGCTTTATAATGTACCTATTTATTACACTTGAAACAAAGCATTATTATAAATTAAACATTTTTTCCTCGTAAATTGTTTAAAACAATACAATTATTTATATTTATTTATTTTTTTTTGTACTATTTAAATACTTTTTTCAGCCTAAGTTGATAATTTCTTCTTCTTTTTTTTTTCTGCAAATAGCTTTAGAACTTTATACAATTTATACAATTTTTAAATAAAAAAATGTGCAACCACAATTTTTTTTCATTCATTTTTGCTAACGTTATCACCATCATTTTTTTTTCACCGTATTGGTTTTTGATTATTACATAGCTATGTATATGATATTCACATAATAAAAAATATTATTTTTAAATAGTCGAATGTTCATATTACAGCAAGTATAGGTAATTACTTTCTTCTCTTTCAAAACTTCTTTCATTTTATATAAAAGTTTATATTGGACCTGAGATCATCGTTTGGCGTAGAGGAGAAGTCTGCAACAATCACTACTAAAATATACGTAGTGTAGAATCAGCCAATAGGCGATCACCTATACTTTCGTAGGAGTATATACCATCATTGCTCGTTGTACGTATATCCCTAAGTCCGAACACTCACCAACATGCCGGTGGCGCCTTTCCAGTCGACCCACATGACGCAGAAATCGGCCCCAGAGTGGTTGCCCCGGTCGGAGAAACCCACCGCAAACCAATCGAACGGGCTGCCGCCGGTCGCGAAGTGCGCTTCGAACTTGACGGTACGCGATCCGTAGTCGACCGTCCAGTAGACGGCCGACCGGCCCGTATCGTCCAGCGGCGCTGTGTACACGCGACGTCGCTCGGCCCCGGCGTGGCCACAACCCGTGGCCGACAGGAGGACGACCGCGACGGCCGCCAGGACGGTCGTCCACCGGCGGCACCACCGCCGTGATTGCCGCGAAGCGGACCGCTGTTGCATGACGGACGTTTGGCTGGAAACGTTCGTCATGACGTGCGTACTTATGCGGCTCTGCGTCGTGTCGGCGGTGCGACTGATGCGCGATGGACGATAAGCGGCGCGCTCGCGACCGGCAGACGACGACGTGACGCTCAGTACAGACACGCGAAGATGATAAGTCCGACTCGTCGGCGACGACGCTCTGCGGGCCTGACAAAAAGAGTGTGTGGGGGGGAGGAGGTTAGGCGGCGTCTCCGATTTTGGGCCGGGGCGGGTGAAACGCGTCACGTCTTGACGGCGGTACACCGCCTCGACGGTTATTAAAATACGGCGCACAGTGTATCCTCACGACTAATGTATCCTTGTACTAATTACCTATGTTTGTTAAAAGTTAATTCTTAAGGAATTGACAATTCATCTATATCATATAAAAAATTATATAATTATAGAAATAATTTAGAAGGATCAAACTTCCGTTAAAATATCATACAATACATTTCAAGAGCAAAAGTTCTCATAAACTATGTACAATATATTTACATATTATGAACACATATTGTATTTTGCAACTGTATTTAGTTCGAACAATTTCAATCACATAAGCTGTTCATAAACTTAAATAATTAATTATATTTTGTTGTTTAAAAGACAAATTTGTCGTCATTCTACTAACACTATCAAATATCAAACTCGACGTATATACTATATACGTATGATCATTTTCCATAAATATCATTATAAATCATTAAACTGGGTCATCGCGAATATTGATATTATAATATAGCTAAATATTATATTGTATCCCGCAGTGCACAAATAATAATAGTATAATGGTGCGTTGAACATTTTCTTAACTTTCAGTTTTGGATGACATACTCTTATTCAATTTTCTATGGAAATTTAAATAATAAACTAATTACTAATATATATTAATATAACAAAACGCAAAATTATTATTTATAACTGTACTAAAAAATCGTTTTTACTAATAAGCATACTGTGTATTATTAGAATTTGTGTGTTTGAATACTTTGAATCTTAGAAACTAAAGAGCCGATTTTAATAAAAATGTTATCAATAGAAATCTCGAGACATTTCTCGATGGAATTTTAAACTTATGTATAATAATAAGTACTTTTTATATTAAAAGTATATGCAAAATTTAATTGCTAGTATTATTAAAATTTCATTTATCCTTGTTTTAACTAAATCACATTTGTACAAAATAATTTAAAAAAAACCTTAATTAAATGTAAATAAATTAATAATTAAATGTATACAAACATTAAAACTAATTGATTTCAAATATAATCAAATTTTACTGTGATGTTAATATATCTAACATTGTAACAGTTTGCCCCCAAACGGTCATATTTAACGATTTTGATTATATCGCAATAATTAATTTGTACAAAAAATAATTCCAGAAAAGTATCATTCTGCGCAATATAGATGGTAAAATTAAATTTAAAAAAACTTAACTTTGAAAATAATTGTAGAAAAAAACTTAATCGATAAAACACGTTTTTTTTTTTTTTTATTACACATTTTAGTTTTTTAAAATTATTTATAAAAATACGTTTGTTATTAAGCCGCGGCTAATTTATAGTACCCATATGGTTGAAGCCGATAATTCTGCGTAATTATTTTGGTGTTACCAATTGCGAAGTACAAATAATTTTTACTGCAATACTTTGTCCCATGTAACACTATACCCCCCCCTCATGCTCACCAACCTATATGTAGGTCCAGTATGTAATTATTTAAATTGTAGTTGCATAATATGGTGTTTTCTTACATGGCATACAGGAAATACTGAAAATCTAAGGTAAAATTAATACGAGAAAATTGATAAATTTAAATCTTTTCAGAAATAATTATTTCAAACCTTTTACCATCGTGCAAAAATAGGTCAAGGAAATAACCTTTAAAAAACAATGACAAATTTAACTGTTAGCTTAGTTCAATTTTTACAACGGCTGACCATTCAAATGATTGACATGGTGATATTTCACTCATTAAACGCGTGTATACGTTGGTGGTATTTACTCAAAAGTTAATAACAATAATTATATAGTATAAACATATATGATATATTATCATATTAACTAAATATTCATGATATTAATTATTTAATGTTTTTAGCAAAAATTAAATCAACCCACTGTTGCACTTTATAATATAGTAACATAAAAGTTACTTAAGTAACAATATCAAAAAAAAGTACTATAAAATATACTTATCTAACGATATAAGCTGGAGATCGTTTCCGCTCAGAATGATTTTTCACACATAATGATGTATCATTGAATTTGAATTTAACATACCCATAACATGACCCACTCGACACTTTATGTACAGCGGAGTAGTACCCACTTATCAACCATTTTTTTATTTATCTTTCTACCATCACATTTCGGAACAGTAACAATGCTTCTATTTTTCATTTTAATATCATATTTTAAGAAAAAGTCCCTAGACGGTATTTTAAAATTGAAAATTTTAAAACTTTTGCACCATTCTTTTACTCTGCAAATGTCCAAAAAATTTGAAAATTATAGTTCATGAATTTTCACATAATATTTGCTAATTTTGTGTGAAAAGTTTTAAGCGTTTTTCTAATATATGTGATGATAAAGTATAACACCATAAGTATGTATATTATTAATAAAAATACGCTAAGTTATGGCATTTATAGTTACTGATTAATGTATGATAATTGATAAGTAATAATATAATGCTCGTTAATTATTTTGACCACCGCACAGTGTTTGATGTTTAATACTTGTTATAGACACACTAAATTCAGAAATAATAATAATAATAATAATAATAAAAAGAGTTTACGAACAATTTGCGTCACTCTAAAGTAGGTAGGTATTATAGGTATATGGAATTATATATCAAGATGAAGAGAGAGATCAACGATTTGGTTGATATACAAAATATTATATGTTTTATGCAATTATGCCGCATGCGAACTGTCCATAAATTATATTAAGCGATGAGAAATCGATTACTTATATAACGCGACTGCAATATGTATATACATATAAATATATATATATGTATGTATATTGCATTGTAATGGTAAAATATAAGACGCATCGGAATCCCGTGAAGAATTTCATTATAGATCATCATCGGCCGCTGCAATTATTTCGTTCGCATTCCTGACACGAGATACGACGACGAAATACCGTGAAACTATTATATTGTTCGCCGCATAAAACTTTCGGCACCATGAAAATGAAAGGTTATAATATAAATGATAATAAAATAATTGAGTTATATTTCGAAAAAAAATCGTATTTATATATCACATATTATACGACTGCAAAACTTATTTGATATGTTTTTCGTTTAAGACACGATCAATAAATAATATTTAGATTATCTACCGAATACCAGTGGCGTATTTATGGGGGGTGATCAAGGGGATAAATCCTCCCCCCATAGGCTGTACACACAAATAATTATAGCCATCATATTATTTAAAAAATTATAAATTTTTTTTTTTATCAATAATTGATTAAATTTGTAAGAATTAAAAATATTTTAGTACAATATTCTCATTGGTATCTTCATTTATAAAGTCATATCCCCCCTCCCACATGACAAAAACCTAAATACGTCACTACCGGATACCATTATTTATTGGTATTTAGTCTATTCCGTGGTAGTATACCATTTCTCTAAAAATGAACACGAAATATAACAAAAACTAGCTGCTATATGTTCCTACGTGTTGTATCTAAGTTTTGGCCCTATTAATAAATAATAATTAAGTACCATTTTAAGATGTGTCTAATAGTTGGCATCATACATTGGTACTTATACAATATTATACCTAAAACATTATTGCTGTTCGTTTAATAATATAACGATAGTAGACTTTTCGACTGTCATAATATTATATGGGTTTATATAAAATATCGTCAAATCGTCACAATAATACAATATCAAGGAGTTTTCATCCTTTAAGCCGTGTCTATCACATTAGAATAGTATCGTTAGACGTTAATTATTTAGCAATTTCAAATTAAGAAAATTTGAATTTATAAAACAAATATATCGAACAAGTTTTGTCAGTATCATAATATTAACTAAAAAAATAAATATAGGTATATAACAATCAATAAAAATAAAAATTGCAACAGTTGCAATTTACCAGTAAGCTATTGTGATAATTGAATTTACAGTCTATGCAAATATAGGAAAAAAATGAAGTGCTGAAATATATAATATTTATTTTTTTTTATATTTGATATTTTTAATAAATGTATAATAAGTATACAATATAATAATATTAAAAAAATAAATGTACCACCATTTGTATGTATCAACGCTTAAAAAACGCTTAAATCGCAATCAATTAGAAATTTTTACACAAATCGGAAGAACTAATGTTGTCATCCAAAATGTTGAGGTGCTGAAGTTTTATAAAAAAATCTATAACACTCATTTTGAGGCGTTAAGATAATTTAACAAATCATTAGGAAGGGGTTATTTTTGGTATTATGAGAGACTAAGTTATAACTATGTTATGTGTAAAGGAAATTTCAAGCGAGGCACCATTTCATTCTTTTCTAGGGACACCATTTGTAACAATATTACCATAACCATATATACGATACATACTTAAATACGCCACTGGGCACTGACATATATACGTAATACCACAGAATTTTAACCATCGACTTTAGAACATCTAGTTCTACATTTGTACACATCACATGGGATATATAAAACTAAAAATAATTTAAGTACAATTCAAAATTTAATAAACATGATATTGGAAGCTAAGTCCCCTACAAAATCTAAAGGCCCTGTTATAGACGCGCACCAATGGGCATGAACTGTCGAGAAATGTCTGGACTACCAATATGCCGTAATTTTTATTATCCATGTTTCGTAATTTGTACACGATGTAGAGAAGAAGAAATATTATAGCTTAAAGAAAATAATATAATATTTCCTACACAATAGTGTTTTTGTGCACTGTAGTATTGAATAAAACATAATCGAACAGGAATATCATTATATTTTCTATAAAAACGAGTAGAGCGCGCCACGTACGGCAATAGTACAACCATATTGTTCTGTGGTTAAAACCAGGGTTAAACACTTAACCATAACACCGTACTATCTCCGACCACAATTTCAATAATAAAGTTGTTTATATTTTTGTGATAATAAAATAGTTTGATTAAAGAGAGAAGAAAACAATTGTCAAATTACGATCTGTGATCTTAAGTTAGAACGTTTGAAACGTAAAAAAAAGCTAATACTTATATTTAAATTAGGTTTTAAAGTTACACGATAACGAACGTTCTAGTGCTTTGAAATTTACATCGTGAGTGTATACTTTTTTTGTACATAGTACCGAGTTGCACGACAAGAAAAAAAATGTCCGACAAACAGGAACCTAATGGCAAAGTGTCCGCTGCGAATATAACGGACCAAGAACGTGATTGGGCTCAGCAAGCATTGGCCGAATATGAAAAAAAAAATTACAAATCTTGCTTAGAACATCTGCAACGAATTGAAGATTCGAGGCCCAATGACCCTAAAGTACTGCTCAATAAAGCCATCGTTGAGTTCTACGAAAGCGGTCTATGTACTGCTGACAAATTTCAAAAGTCATTTATAGACGTCTGTAAGCAGGTAATTTGTTAAACGTAACCATTTTATTGATATGAGTTTGCTCGTTTTCTTTAAATTTGTTTTTCAATAATGTTATTGTTTACAGGTGGAATTAAATCTAGAACTTTTGGATTCTTTAGAAGATGTTGAAAATTGCATTTATTATTATAACTATGCTGTGTTTTTATATCATTTGAAACATTACACCAAAGCACTGGCTATGATAAACAAAGTTTACTCATTTATAGAATCTCTAGGTAATCATTTATTGCACGTGATATTAAATGTATGTTCAAATATAATACCTAATTATTGAATTTGTTATAGAGGAAAGTTTGGCTCATAAAGTATGCCTGCTGATAGTCCAGTTAAATATAGATACTAAGAAACCTGCAGAAGCACTGAAATTGATAACTTATATTGAAAGCCAATTTGTATCAACAGATAATGCCACTAACATATTAACTGGTAGTGCTGATCAAGGAGGTCCTATTCACACGGAAACAGAGAAAACAGAAAAAGTATAATATTATATTATATGACTGGGTTACAAATAAATCTTATTTTCATAGAATAATATTTTAATTTTTCAAATTTTTTAGAAAGCCAATTTAGATGCTGCTACTGATGCATTTCGAGTCAGTCTTATTCAGTACCGAGTTAGGTCTCTAATGGAGCTAAATTTATTTGATGAGTGTAATCAACAATTAAATACAATTAAAGAAAAACAAGTAAAGTATTAGATTATTATTTTTATAAAGAAGTAAAGAAGTTTTGTAAACAAATTATATTTTTTATACTTTTCCAGGACTCAATTACAATGTTTTTAATGGGGAAATTAGAATACCTTCGCGGTAACCATAAAGAAGCACTTGCAATTTTGAAAGATATTCCAGTGAAAGACGATTTTATGTAATAATTTTTTACATTATAAATTTAAATCTAATTTAATTATTCATCGACATTTCTATTACAGAGAAACTGGAGAGTGTTCTTCAGTTTTAATAAATAATAATGTAGCTTGTTTGTATCATTATGCTAAAAAACCTACCTTGTCATTCACATCTATTTACAAAGCAATTGTCCAACACCAAAAAAATATTGTTGATGTTACTAAGCCTATTCAAGGTATGAAGTAAAAACCAATAATAAACATTGTAAATGTTAAATTATTTATTAAATAATAAATATTTGATTTTGAGTAGCTGAAGGCAGTTTGTCAGGTCAACCGCTTCATATAATTGGTGCAAGTATTAAAACTGAGCTTATGTTCAATTTGGGTATAAGTCTATTACACGCTAGAAAACCTGAAGAAGCATTTGACTGTCTAATTGAAGCTGTACAAACTTATCACATGAATCCTAGGCTTTGGTTAAGATTAGCTGAGTGTTGTATGATGACTCATAAAAAAGTAAATAGGCGTGTTTAATTAAATTAAGTCATAAAATATGGAAATGCACATATATAATTTGATTTTAGAGTAACGACAGAGATTTTGATTTTAAGAAACCTTATATTGAAGGTGTTATTGGTTCTGGTAAACACAGAAAAATTATTTTGAAGTCACAGTTATTTCCAGACACAAAATACAGGTTAGCTTAAGAACAAATTGTATGTTTCAAAATTTCTAAATTTAATTATTTTTCAAATTTTATAGTTGTGAAGCAGTTTCTGCATCCATTCCAATGCCAAGTCTCGAATTTGGCTCATTATGTATTCGTAATGCAGTTTTATTAATTCAAAATGATACTATTGACTGTTCACCTTCTCATACACCTATTAACACACCACACAAAGACTATCTTTTTGGTTGTATTCAATCAGCTGGAGCATATATAGCCCTATGTCTTGGTGATCCAGTGGTTGCATTAAAGTATTCACAAGAGTTACTAAAGTCTGACAAAATTAACAAAGTTCATAAGTAAGTTAATATCATATTATTATTATCTGTTTAGAATTACTAAGGTCTATTATCTTACAAACTATTATGATTTTTATTTGTAGATTTTTAGGTCATTTATATGCAGCTGAAGCACTGATACTGTCAGATAAACCAAATGAAGCAATAGATATGCTAAAAGAGTCTAATGCTTTTGACGATATTGAACCTGAAATACATGAACAGCTTAGAACTGAACAATGGAAGCCGGACAAACAAAAATCTGCCAAGGCTGTTCTTTATTATAACTTAGCGGTAGCGTTAACACTAAGGGGTGATCTTGATAAAGCTGGAGAATTACTTAAGCAAGTAAGACTAGTATTAAAATGCTATGCTTTCTGTTATCTAATTAAGATTCATAATACAGATAACGGCATATTATAATATAAATTATTTTTAATGTCTGTCCTGTGAAATACATGTAAAACAACAGTTGAATCACATAAATGTTACAATGAACATTTTTTTTTTTTTTTTAATATTAATAGTATAATCTATTTAAATACTTTTATTATTTTATTAAAAAGTATAATATTGTGACTCTTTCAGATATGGCTGTCAAAAATCGAACATGTTTCAGTACCTGTTCACGTTGTCATCTTAGCTCTATACATTCACTTACGATTAGGTAAGAAAATACAAAAATGTTCTGGGTAAATTGCATTAGAGTTTGTTCTTAAATATTTTCTTGATATTTGTTCCAGGCCAAAAAGAAATTGCAATAACTTTAATAAAACAAAATTGTCCGCAAGCAAAACGATAGGTAAAATAAAATTTTAGGTTACTATAAAATTACATTATATTATTACTTATAACAACAATAACATACTTGCATGTATTATATTTTATTTTATATATGTAAGTATATGATAGTATAGATATCAATAAAAATTGAAAAAATAAATTGTTTACATTACTTAAAAAAAAAAACACAACAACAACAAAATACAATTTTACTCTCTCTCTCCTTCGTTCTCTTTATATTATAAAATATTAAATTATACATAAATAAAATATTTTTAAAAATTTAACACTTGAATTCGTATTTTATTTATATCTTTTAATACTATTTCACTTAACGTACTTCCTATACGCAACTGAATTTTACTCCTGCAAACACATCAATGGCATAATATTATAATCACGACGGCTGTTTGATTACTGATTTATTAAAAGTAGGTGTGATTAACATTTAACAAATAAGACGTACCATCATCACTCGAAAAACAATTGTGACAATGCAACTTTTTGTTCCTGACTCGTACGTCAGTTCCCATTAAGCCGTCGCCCAACTGTACGCAGCATACGCAACACTTGAAACACTCAATGTGGTAAAACAATTGGAGGCTCTCAATGATCATGGCGGCGCCGCGACCAAGTTCCACTGCGCAGTGCGAACACTTCTTTTTGCCACTGACGCTCAACATCGATTCTTGTGGAGCAGCATCACTTGCGATGTGATCGTGTCTATAAAAGTCACACCCGACAAAAAATCCATCGTCAAATAAGTGTTTTTGTATCGTTTTAGAGACAAAAGTAGGCTATGTAAATTATGCTGGCTCCCTTGTGAAATTCAATTTTTTAGTGTATATGTATTTTCGAAACTAAATTCAATAATTAATTTTTGTTGGAAATAAATATTTTAGAAGTTTAAAAAAAAAAAAAATTTCACGAATTCTTATTTTAAGATTTTTACGAAGCGTTTCATTGAAAATTTAAGAAAATATTTTTTTAAGTTTAACAGCTTAAGAATGATGGACGATTTTGGACAAAGAAAAGCATTTTTAAACATTTTTAATTAAAATCCATGATGTTTGAAGAATTTTTTTGTTTTTAAATTATTTGGTTCTAACTTTTTACTTGATATTTAAACACTTGAATTCAACATCAAACATACAAAAAAATTCTGGAAATTCAGGTGGAGCGAGCCCGGTAAAGTACATTTGTCTTCAAAAATATGTATTAACATCAAACGGAATAATCACCTATGGAAATCATTGAATGATAAACGGTCTTGCACACGCTGAGTCAAGGTATTAATAACTGAATCAGGCAAAGGTTTTTTGTGTGATGGCGGTGGTGGAGGCGGTAGAGACGGTCTGGTACGTGATCGTGGTTGGTTTGACGCAATAGCGCCGGGCGGCACTTGACGGTTACACCGGTCGACTAGACGTCGATGTTCTGCTTCCTAAAAACAAAGTAATAATGCATAACAATATAAATTCGTACAAACACAAAATTATACAAAATTCGATTCGACTTACTTGAATAAGCCAATGTTGGTAATTATATTTTTCCGACTGACTATTAATCGGCTTTCTTTTGGCGTAGACACTCTGCTGGACCGGTCTAGGGCAACCGTTCTGAGAAGACCTGAAATATTATATTAACATGATTTGTTAAATACAACGGATTCGATTCAATCGGTATAATGTACGTTTAATATTAGGAGTATTTTATTTCAAACATGTGAGCGCAGTCCTGTACATGACCGCGACGCCCAACAAGTGTGATTAATAAATTAACAAACACCCACCGCACTTCAACGAGAAGTATTCGAACAAGACAACGTACGACAACAGCGCGCATGAAATATTATACGTTTAATTTATCGAGTAAGTATCAAGTATACTACACACGTTTTTCGTTTAATTCGTCGCTACGTTGGCTGTTTGATTTTTAGTGCGAGGTAAAAACCAAATAGAATTTATCGAAGAGATAGGTAGGTGTTGCATATCGACATGTCGTATAAATTATATGTAAAGTACTCGACCCGAAAATTGTCAACGAGAGAGGAAATTAGTTTTTCTACAGTTTTTCACACTTGCGTATCATAAACACATCGTATAAGTATTTAATTATGAAATATCTAGATATTAAATTAATCAATGGGTAGGTATAAAACTTAAAACAATATGAAAATAATACGAACCATGTAAAATCTTCAGGTTGATGGTATTGACTGATGCTATGAACAGGCTGCTGTTGCTGTAAATACACAAATGATAAAACAATTAATAATTAAGTATTTAAGTTAATATTTATATCCATTATCGAAAATACAATATTAAATTACACGACTACACAAGTAAGTGGAGTGAACGCTCCGAGTATACCTATATTTGAGTTTTTTCTTTGTTGAATACCTTCATAAAAATTTATTTTATTTTTCTGTGGTTGAAATTAAAGATTGACGATAAAAACTATTTACTCAAAAAAAAGAATCTAATTTTAGAATATTTGAAAATTACAAATCTTTAAACGCTTAATAAATTATTATAATCGTATAAGGTGAAAATTTGAAAAATTATTTCTGTGAAGGCTTCACCTTTGTCCTTTGCCAATGTACTTTATAACATGGTATAATGTTATAATATATGAATTTATATATAATAATAAATTATCCTGTAATATTTATATTTTTATACTTCTACTATGTATATTTGTGTACATATATCAACAAATTACATTTCTTAAGTTATAATAATGAAAACGCTATTAATTTTCTAATATAAATTATACGAGTATATATTCATTTGATTTTTGGTAAAGTACATACCTATGCATGAATGTTATTGTGAGAGAAAAATGGAATGCTTTTATTTTAAAACATTTTGTAATGTTACTTTTTTGTTGACCATATTATTGTATAACCTAAGCGGATAAGCCTAACCCAACTTAGGTGGGTTGGTCTTAGTATCAGAAAATTCAACAAAAAAAAAAAAAAACTTTTTTCAGCGACACTGAAGATGTGTATTAACTCTCAAAAAATACAGTAAGGTCATTATTAGATAAATCTATATTCTATAACTCATTATACCATTATTAATTGTTATGGTATATTATATGTATATTGTATGGCCCAGTTATAAATATTCTTTATATTAGGACAGTAATAATTTCTTTATTTCTTTATTTTTTTTTAAATTTTAGAAAACTGTAATAGATTAATATAAAACTATAAAAGCTTCTCATTTTTCATTTTCATTAAATATTTAAATAGTTTTGAGTAAGTTATATATTTCGGGAAGATATAAAACAGGTAAAGGAGTAAATTTTATACATGCATAAAGGCATGAACATAATATTATCTATATATGCTCTTTAGAGCGTTGATTAACAGTCGTTATAAAAATTAAAATTCTACAGAAAATTCGTAGCATTTCTGAATAATTAATTAAGACGGGCAAAAAAAGTTCAGAGGGAACTAAAATATCAAATGACGCTCACCTCCAAGTTTGGCATGGACTGAGTGTGGTCTAATGTCGGTGGCTGCGGACCGACATTTGCGACGGAGGCAGTTGATGAGATGTCTTGCATGGAGTGACGGGTGGGTGGCGGCAACCAGTGTGCTGATCCAACTCGAGCGCATTCTTGATTGTTTAGATCCTCTTCGAGTTCTTTTAATTTTTTCACTAATTTTTCACCTACCAAAACCAAAAAATACGATTCGTCATGTCGAATAAAATATTTCTCTTCTATAACTAAATGTTCCAGTGTTTATAATATTATGATGCATGTAGGTATCATAGATTATTAGTTACAAATTTTGTAAATTTAGGTAAAAATATTCTGTACTAAAATATTCAACCAATGCCTCATAATAAATTCCAAGTTTAAAAGCAACAGATAGCATTCAAATGTAATAAAAAAAAAAAAGAAGACCAGTTTGAATAATAATAATAAAAAATGTTTGCAGTTCTATGAAATGTAACAATTATACTGTCACCTTCATATAACTAAAATACTTTTTAACTAATCTACTACCCGAGAAGGGGGGGAGGCTGTACAATATATAAATTAACAAAAATAATAACACAGAAACACAAGCTTCATAGAGATATTGGATTTTGATAAATGTTTTTTTTTTTTTTTTATCTGAAAGAAGACTTTTAACATTGAACTCTCATATTTTTATTTTATTTTAAATAATAGTAAAAAATAGTTAGTAGAAAAAAGTTAAACATTTAAGACTATAAAATTAAACAATAAAGTTCAATGCAGGTAATATTTTATTTCTCTATATGATTAAAAAAAAATTAAAAATTAATTTTACAAAACAAGATATTATTCTAATTACCTCACACCGAGTGCCTTAAGAAAAACTATTCCATATACATATATTATTATTTATTATTAACACGTGACATTTGCCAATTATATTAGCAACTAATAACATTTTATAATAATTATTTATAAAAAATAAAAATTATGATAATATTACTTATTTTTTTCTAAACCAGTTATTTTTTATTTTTTATTTTATATTGTTCTATCAGTTGCTCTTTTAACCCCGTTGGATATTGTAGTAAGTACAGCCAGTACAGGATATTTATTCAGATATTGGATAAGTTGTAATGTATAGGTAAAGGTGTTTAAACCATAATTTACCTATATTATTTTGAGCTGCTTTGTTCTTCAACTGATTACACCGACTCTGTTCTTCTACCTGTAATATGTCTCTCATATATTGACTACTCTCGCTGTCGCCACCGTCATCTACATACACGTTCTGCGACGGAATGCTGTTGACGTTCTCGTAAATCTGCAACATCGTAATTTTCTATGCTCAGATAAAAGGTCATAATACATAATTTAATTAAAAATACGAGTGTCAAGATAACCGTGATTACGACATAATACGCACAATCACTATAAAGGGTATTTTTTTCAGGTTTACGTTTTTATTATACACTTTAAGAAAGAACTACACGTGTAGGCTTATGAATGAGAATCGAAAATAATTTAGCATTTTGCAAATGCGGGATTTTTGATAGTATTTAAGTACAGTAACTTTAAATTAAATATTTATTTGAATTTTTATTTTAAAAAAAAAATTGATTCTACAGTTTTATTTTTTATTTGTTTTAGTCTATAATTTTACACGGAAAACCTCGAAACATCTTGCATATTGTATATTGAATACTATCGTATATGATATTTTTATAAAGTATCGAATACCGAAATTTTCACTAACCCTAGTTGTATCATGTAGTTGCCGTTCGGGTTTGTTCTGATTGTACAAAAGTTTTTCCAGCCGACGTTCCTCTTCCAGGAACGACGTCAAATCAGGAGGTTTGGACTTCAAATTTTCTAAATCTATAACACATAATATACAGCACAAACATAAGATAGGGCACGGTGCTTGAGATTATTTATATCGAAATCGTTTTATCGGAGACTTACCGTGCTCGTAGCTGGCATTACCGTTCGTGTATTCTTCCAAGCCAAGAAAACTAGAACGTTTCATCCACATCTCTTTCTTTATACGTTTGGCTGACTCCATGCTGTCCACGGCCTATGCATCATCACACAACAACAACACACCGCATTCAGTACTATATATATATATATATTAATTATGGGTAATGGTTAATAATTAATACTTACAGGTTCAAGCGGAAGTTGTACCTGGCTATCGTCATCAGGATATGCGTCTACAGGTGGTGGAGGTGGTTTCTCTTTGGGTGGTTCCAGTGCATTGACGGGAGTCAATTCAAGTACCTAAAGAAGACATCGATACAAGTCAAGTGTGATTTCAAGAGCTTAAATTTTCCGGATATACAAATGATTCAGAATTCACACAATCACAAAAAATAAAATAATAAAATAATAAATTACCACAGTTTACTTCTGAGAGCACAATTCCAGCGAACCAATTATATATATATATATATAATTGCAAATTATTACTGATCTACTATGTATACTAAACCTTATAAATTTGCGGTTAAAATATTATAATCCAAACGATCGAGGGACGTCACGGGTTATGATAAAATCTTGTAAGCCATCCGTTAAACCGCGTGATGTGGTGTATAATATTATACTGTAGTATAATATTATAAAAGAAACTCAGATGGCGGTTTTGGTTAAGTATATATAGATATGTTTCTATGTTATGCAGTTACAAAGCACGTGCGTCATTAAATATATTAAAATGTTAATCTAACAGTTTCCAAGTTCCTATGATTCGCGGTTTCCTTATTATAGAAACATGGTCCACACTTCCCATAAATAAAATTATTTGCATCAAAAAGGTAAAAAAACTTTAAAAGTATTATAAAATATAAAGTCATCATGTATGACGTAATGTAGGTTAACAAAATAATATTAATATTTTTGTGTCAAGAGTCTTATACATTGAAATTTGAAACAACAAAGTACATAAATAGTACGAGTATTAAATGGTATTATAAATTTGTACCTCTTTTGAGATAAGGTCGCTAATTTTATACCTAACCTAATCTAACCTACAGTACAGGGATACCGTCAGAAGTTTGATTATTATTTTTAATTGTTTGTCGTTTTATGTTCCAGTATAAGTGACTAACTTTTCTAAGTAGAACCCATTTATCACGAATTCTATATATTAAAAATTAATTTAAAAATATTCTAAATATAAGTATTTATTATTTTTATAGGAATCTCTGAATATGCTATACTTAGGAATTTAAAATAAAAAATTTTAAATACTGACAAGCATATCCAGGGCAACCTTACATCATTTAACGTCCATAATTAGTACACGCGCAAAATAGTACATTTCAGTAAACATTGCATATAATGCAATATGTGCCGATAATGGTATACAATATAATGTAGTCACGTATAACCTTATACGGGCTTTATTATATTATTGTATGTATAGTATACTGTATATATACCATATTGTACGTGTCGCCGACATGTTGTTGGACGACGTTCGGTGGCTGTTGCAGCAGAACAGGACTGGGCTGCAAGTTGGATCGTTCTTCGTCGTCAGCTTGGCTCACGCAACTCGACATGTCCTCGGTGTGCACACCACTATCTTCGGCGCTTAGACACGAACCCGGGTAGTTGCCATCATCAGGATCTTCAGCTGTGTGACCGCACTCCTGGTCCAAGCTGTCGATCGAGTGCCGGCTAACTAGATCGGAAAGGGACGAAAGCTGCTGATGGTGGCGGATATGCTGCAGGTGATGGTGGTACTCATCCTCCACCATGCAAACCCGTTCTTTCTCCAGCGCTACTATAGGTTTTTCCTCTTCGGCCATCATCTCTTCCTCCGTCGCTGATGCCGTTCTTTCGTCTTCTACTTCTGAGTCAACGGCCAGACAGCGATGTTGCAGTATTTCTTCTTCACTACTGTAGGTAATTTGCTGTTCGTCTTGCGGCTCCACTACCTTAGCTGAATTTGTTCCTAAAAATGAAAATGCAGTTATATACTCCTATATTATTATCAAGGTTGAAATCTTAATATTTTAAATAATTGCGAAATTGTCTTATTAGTATAGGTATATATTTTATATCTCTATACTTTTTAGTGTAATATAAGATGTATGCTTATAAAAAAATTATTGCAATGGCACTAAAAATCAAACAAATCATAATTAATCATACAAATAGAATAAACCATTTCCAATTTTTGAATATCACAATGAACAGTTTTATAAAAAATATGTATAGGTATATTATTTAATTATATTTATTATAATTGTTTATCTTTTAACTCAAAAAATATTACTTATACATAAGTAATTTACAGTTAATCAAAACTTATTAAAATTCGTATTTTTCTCTATATTGGTTGAAAAAAGACAATAAATGCCTAAATACGTAAAGCGTACGTTTGAAAATTTTACCTGGTAACGGCGATTTGGGCGAATAAATGATGTCTTCGACCATTTGTTCCAGAAAAACGTTCGCAACAGGAGTGGCAACATTAGCCTGTGGCGATGGTGTCGGCGATGCTTTGAGAGATTTCTTTTTTGCGAGTGACGATTGTCTAGCCAGAATATTGTGTTGCACTTCGGCAGCTTTTGTTTCCGAACAAATCTTCTCAAATATCTCCCGACGCTTAACAATGTCCACCTTGGGCAGTTCACCGGTGGCAGCGGAGTTCAAGTCTTTCGTGGACTGCGATCGCGTCTTGAGCAACATGACTTTCTCCTCGATTTTGGGCGCTGACATCCGACGCCTAATCTCGGTTACTGCGGGCTTACGGCACGGTAACGGCTGTTCTTCACACTTAGCCACGGAAGTCCGCTTGGACTCAGCGAAATCAACATAGTCTTTGATGGCCCTGTCGTATCCGTTTTCGGCTACGGCTGGTTCGGTCGGAGCCACCATGACTGCGGCAATCGTTTGCACCGTCGCCATTTTGACGGGCACAGCCGCGGGTTCTTTGGCTCCACGGAAGACGTCATCCTCCTCGCGATCCTCTTCGACCAGATCTTTGGTTTGACAATCGAATTGGTGCGACACTCGCTCCTCGACACTACTATCCGTCGAACGATTCCGATGGTCTTCCGTCGTGTGATTTTGCAGCATCTCATCTCCATCATAGTCGTCAACGCAGTTCTTTTTACTAGTGCTCAGGCCAAGGTCGCTGAGATCGTTACTATCATCGTCATCCTGGTACAGCGCGGGTAAACTCCTCAATCGTCCGCTCTTACCCCTGCAGAGACAACATGCAAATATCAGTAATATACAAATAATGAAAAATCAATCGTCTACATATTTTTTAATCGAGATAAGTTAATGAACAAAAAACACATAAGTACGAAGACTAAACAGGGCGTTAACGTGTTTAAGTGGAGTCGTGTTCCCAAAAAAACATTTAGGTAATAACAGTGGCGGCATAAACTCGTTTTGGAAACTCGCATTGGCCCGACAGCGCATTTTATAATATGTTAACATTTGTCATTTACGCTCAATGCACTGACCGATTTATACATTTATAGTTTATTATATATATTGCTATATTTAATATTATTATGTACGTATATATGTGTGTATGTGTGTGTGTGTATTGTCGTGCGTTGTTGTTATTATTATTATTAGAACGTGAGTCGTTTTGGTTTGTGAACTGCAGTTCTCTCATAATCCTGGATATATCATAATACAACTTTCACCTAGCCACTTTAATTGGCATCCCATTGTATACTGCACTGCAGCGCATATGTCCTGATGTAGTAATACAACTTTACATAATTTTATTCCCATTATCGTTTTCGTTAGCCTGAATATCGTCGTCGCAGCCGCGATGCTTTTAATATTAAATAAGAAAAAATCGCTTCTTTAATCTCCCACCTCCACCATCTATTAATTGTCACGTCTATCCAAAAGTAATTTGCCACCGACCGATCTATACGCACGAGGCGCCTATGCAATATAACAGCTTCTTTATAAAACATATATATATATATATATAATTGATCACGCGGAAAGAAAGCGGGGTCATTCATGTACATGGGCATTAATATATTATTATATTAATAATATAAAGGTATACCTACCGTGCGTAAGACGACGAAATTCGCCAATCAATAGACACATTAGTAGCAATGACTAAGGTGGTAAAGATGTGAAAATATTCGATAATAATGAAATATATAGGTACCTATCTACAACCATGTACTGATCTCCTGCCAAGAGCAAATAGTCGCGAATAATGGTGATTTCAGATGTATTATATACAAAGGAAATGTATCTTATATATGAATGTGTGTATATAGAAAGCATCGACCGTGCTAATTGAACTTATTGACATTATCTGCAGATAGTTAACGCATAAAAACAGCTACTGGAGATTGACTATATGCAACAACTACCGCAGAATTGAGTCGTGAAGACATTTAATTAATCTCTCTTCTCAATGTATATATTGTTAAAATATCACAACTAAAGATATTAAATTTTATGTTTTCACAAATTTAATAGAAACTTTTCAAACTAAAACGCAAATCTTTCTTTAAGACACTTTAAAAAGTTTTAATTAAATATACGAGAGACAATATGTTTATATTTTAGTTTCCAATAAATCCAAAACTTTATTTAATATAAAAATATGTCTGAGCAATAACGATTTAATAACGGATTTAAAATCAATTATTTTTAAAACTTTTAACATAACTACAATATGTTAACTGATTGACTAATTGACAAGTTATTTCTCATTGCAATATGTATTACGTGAACACATTGTTTTTTAAACTGGTTTTTAAAAACATTTAGTAAATATATATGTATATATGCGGTGGCCGATGGAAGAAAATAATAAATATTAACCCGACAACTTAGACGCCATCATTGAAATTGTTTAGTTTTTAAAAATTTTCTTGGAATGATATTTTAACACATTGAAATCGTGTAAAACGTATAAAACGACAAAATACATATACCTATCTGTCCAATAAAAAATATACATAATATACTAATAAACAATAAACTATATAGACTATATCCAAATAAGTCACCGCCGTTACAGTATTTAGTCGCGTTTTAGTCGATTTTTCTATGAAATTGGATTAGTAATAAAATGTCCTATACTGGTGGAAAGTGTCAAGGCCAGAGGACCATGAGGATTAACTCGATTCGAATAATCACTCGGTGACGGATATGCGAGGCATTGAGTTGCGGTATTGTTCATTATGTACATATACATGCGTCGACATAATAACCAACATTTATAATAATAATAATAATATATACATTCGAATGAGATTGAAAATTAAAAACAAGGCTATATTATATATAGCCGTTCTCGTTCGATTTTTGTTGTTGCGCACTGCAATCGAATAGCCGATCTAATCAAAATCACTGCATAACGATTATTTCGACATAAGTTTACACAGCCGCAATGCATGTGTGTGCACGGGCCGACAGTTTTTGACGAGAAAATACTACGAAAACACAATGAGTGAGAACTAAAATATATATATAATGCTAATTAAGAGACGTAAGAACGCAGAAAAATCAGAAAGGAGAAGATGGCGTGTAGAACCACACGCAATTGACCATATATTATAATATAAATATATAATATTACACAAACACAGGACTCAAAGATCATAATCATTATAAGAGATTGGTACATGGTGAGGACTACGTAAACCGTAGCAACGATATCCGAGGTATCTGCATAATATATGTATTATGTATATTATAGCCGTCATTCAAACTCGACGGGTTTAATATAATATAAGTAACATTACATAATACTATATACACCTGTAACTGAAATGATTGTATTTTCAATTTTCTATCCGGTTACAACCGAAAACTTATGGTATGTAAGCCACTGATAAGAAGCTACAGCGTATCTGTACGTTGTAGGAACTAGGTACACATCCATGTCCATATTTAAAATAACAAACACGTGAATATCAAGTTTTCAGAGTTAAATTATTGTTTGTTTTTTGCTACATTAATGGTTGATATGGACAGTAATGTTGACGGATTTTGCAATAATTGTCGATATCGGGTACTTAAAAATCAAAATTACATATTTTTCTTTGTTAAAGTCGTTAACATAAATATATCGTAAAATGATTTTTCAGTACTCTATGATAATCTATACTGTTATTTGATCAGCAGAGTGGTATGTGAATAAAATATCATACCGGATAAATGTATATATAATTTGTGGAGAATTTTATAATAACGTTATGAACGGGAAAAAAATCTATAGACACCTATGCATACGTAATATATATCCCCGAAAGTTAAAGTATTGTGTATATATAGCGATTTTTCCACGCCTCTATCGCCGCGATTTCAATTTAGATATCATATTATGCACGCGTGCAATAAGTATGCGTATATTTTCATATTGGTACATATATCTAAAATATAGCTAAAATTGTATGAACACATAACCATAAGTGGTGCCAAAAAAATGATTAGGTTAGTCCGTGTATTCACAGTTCAGTTAGACGATAATATAAAACGGAGAAAGACAATATACACAGTTGATTGCTATAAACGGCCCAGATAATATTATACCTATTATGTGCTGAAAAAATACCGTCAGAATTATTACACAATCACGCATCGGTCGGGACTACGGACATCTTTCTTTACCTATTGAAAGGCTCCAAATAGATCATGCTATAGATAGGTAGATAGGTAGGTACAATGTATATAATTTTAGTGTAAAAAATTATTTAGATAGAGAAAACTTCTAAGAATGTATGTATACTATGACAAAACTATCCCCTTTTAAAATGTACATTATATAATCTGCGAAATAAACTATGAATAAAAATTTGATTTTAAGTTAAATACCTTGTGTGCAAGACTAGACGCAAATAATATTATTTGTGTGCTTTCATACTACATTGTTCCTTCAATAATCCAAGGTCGGACCCACTGACCGATTTTACAGTAAACTTTCAAGATCGATAATATTTATATATGCGTATATACCTACATATTAATTTTATAGGTATTTCCGATAGGTTAAACGCGTTCGTTGAACTCTGAACAATAAAAATAATTATTTTTTTAAGAAAATTACTGTCCACATGAGAGTAAAGATACAAATAGATCAAATTTTTGCACGAATGCAATATAATAACTGCATTGCCAATCAACCAGATATATGCTAGTTTAATTAATTTATCAATCACGTCCACTATTATATACGACTCTGCAGGTATATACAATATAGCTACCGCCAATCGAATCTAAGTTTTAACGACCTAAAAATAAAAATAATTATTCTCTTCGACCTACATAGTTTTTAAAATAATTAAATTAAAACAAATTTCTACAAACAACCCAAATAAAAAAATCACGGAAATTTAACTTAATTAATTTAAAACTATATGAATTATAAATTGCATATTATGCAATTATGCTAATAATAATTCAATATACGATTAAGTTAGTATAATTAATAACTCTAATAGTAAACACTCATATAATCATTACTATGAGTAGGTATTTATATTTTTTATGAAATGCAATAATAATGACTGATATAATATAATTTATATGCGATAATGCGTCAGTAAATAAATAAATATAAAAAATTCTCAAGAATGGTATAATATTTAAAAATCAAAAAAAATAATTTTCTAATTTGAGTTTTGGTAAAGTATACATTGTAGATACCTAATTGTTTGATTTTATTATTGTTGTACTTATAGTTTTACTGTTGTTACAATGATTTAAAATGCATAGTTGTACAACACAACCATAGTAAATAGAGATTCTCACGAGTCTACTCGACCGGTTTTTTGCGTTAATTTCCAAAAAAAACATGTTTATACATTTTTCTATACCTAGAACGGAGTTTTTTTCTAGTCGCCATTAGCTGTACATTGTCCCAGTTAACAAAAATCACACATTCGATTGTACCCGTTCAATTATATACAGCATATACCAATCAAATGTAATATTTTTGCATTTCATAATATAATCATAGTGTAATATTTTTGAATTTCATAATATAATTATAATGTAAAATAAACTAAAGATTTTATATTACATTATACAGGCAATTAAAAGCATCTTAATCAAAAACTATAACTCAACGTCAACGACTGCGATGGATAACAGAATAGTATTAAAAAATAATTAAACTTAGCGATACAACAAAATATTATAATTAATGATTGAATTAATTATATTAATACTAATAATACCAAAAACAGATACAGTATAGTTATAGTCTACAACAGCAGTATTTAAAATGATTAAATTAATAATGTACTCTAGTACGAGAAAATCTTGAAAATAATTTTACAAACCAATCTGAAAAAAATCAACTGAGTTGATAGAAATAAGTAAAAAAAAAAAAAAAAACGACCTTGAATAAAATACTTATATGTGCACATAATTTACTAACAATCAATGGCGTTACGATAAAGGTGTTAGGTGATTTAAATTATAACCTGGAACAACGACAAAAGTTTTATTTATTTTTAATCGATCGCTGTGCCTATATTCTAAGATTATGTATCAAAGCACAATACAACAACACATCATGTTTGAACGAAAAATTGTTCATTAAATTAACCTACGATCAATAAAATTGTATGATTATAATTTAATATGAACATAGTAGCAACAATCGACCTTTGGGAAATATATACGTGTGACATCAACATTGCCACTATACACTAGTGCACGACGAGTATAAACCTAATAGTAATAGATACATTTTTTTATAACATAACAATAATAATTATTATCAAACATCGCCCAACAAAAAATTAGAAAAATACTACCGGCAAATAAAAACCAATATTAAAAAAAATAAAATAGTATTTTAGATTTTGATCAAGTTTCAAAGCAATGAATTTATTGGTTTTACAATGATGTATTTATGTAGGTTTTAATTTTGTTTAGCGTCACTTTTAGGGATAGTATATCTTCAATCCTTAATTTTGTGTGTGATTTCTAGTATAAAATGATACCTAAAGTAGGTTAGGTACTTTATTGGAGTCAAAAGAAAAAGTTTCCAGTCCTTTTTATAATAATCTGGAAAAATAATTTCAGAAAACGGAAATATTTATTATTAAAATTCTAATTTTAATTTAACGCATCAATTACAGTAACCTATTTAATGAAGATGCTCACTGAAAATCTATACATGAAAGCAACTTTCCCAATTTTGTTATTTTGTAAAACTATAGATACAGCACAAACAGCACAACACCGTTATTCCGTCCATATTATTGCATCATAATATAGTAATAATCATGCGAAATGATTAACTCGCGCCTAAACCCGAACGAGGTAAAATACCAAAATTAATAATGTAGGTACGAGTATATCTGTGTTATATAGATACACGTTTTCCTTGGGCTTTAGATTTTCGAATAACAAAGAAAACAAATTATTTGAAAATTATTCAAAAGCTCAGTAACTTATATAATATATACCAGGGGCGGCCCAACAGTCGATCGCAAACGATTTTAAAGTCGATCGTGCTAGAATTTATTTTTAGGCTGCGTTCACGAAAATTAATTATGATGGTATAGTAACTTAATAATAATAAAAACTTTTTTATCGAAGTCAATCCTCAAAGGTGAAATATATTTTTAGTAGATCGTGGCCGAAAAAAGTTTGACCGTCCTTGATATATACTGTATTAAACGGGGTATTACACACATAATATAACAATATGGCATGTTGCACATGGTAATTTTACTATCCTCACGGTTACATACATATATTATATTCCCGTGAATTTCGAAGGTATATAACAAATACTGTTTTTATTTTAATACTTGTGTTAGTAACGCAAAATAATCTAAATGAGAAATGGGTTTCCTCGTTTGCATTTGACATATTATTTCCTATCGGACCTACCTACATCATGTGGACATTTGATTCCTATAACCGACAATTAGGTAGGTACTAGTTAGGTACCAATTACACGGTGGTTATATTACATATATATGATATATTTCTTTTTTCAGACATGTGTATTGTATATTAATTGTAAGTACATAATATGCGTTTCATATCTTAGGAGATATAATATGACGTTATTTTTTACACTTTTTAAAATGAATAAAAAGAGAATGTAAATGGATCATTTTTCGACCTGAACAACAACTTCTACTGTCTACTACATATATGTTTCATTAAGTTTTACATTTTTTAAATATATATATATATATGTGTATTTATTTATGTGTATACACATCTTCTGTAGAACGTATAACATAAATTACTTCAGCATACAGCCTGCATTAGCGAGGGGTCTAAGAAAATCTTAAATAATCGGTAAAAATATTTTTATGCTTTTATTTCAACATGTTATAAATGCGTTTATTTTTATTTTTGTCGGTTATTATTATTTTTGTTAAATGATTTTAACATAATATTTACTATTTACTAATCTGCAGCTTACGTGTCACCCATAATAATCGTTAGTTATAATTATTTATATCTGTATAATAACAATGTATTCAATGAGTCATTGTATTATTCTATTCTGAAAGAAATCCTATAAATTTAAAATTGATTTATGTATTTTTTAAATTTTAACTTCCTATACTATTTTAATTATAATAAACAAATCATACCTGCAGTACATTATCAATGTCTAAGAACTTTAAAAAATAAACAATCATATACTATAGCGGTTCTTAGCCTGGAGTATAATCTGAAGGGGCACGGGAAAAAAATTAATCAATGATGGAAAATGTTTAATTTGTTTATTAAAAAAAGTTTCGTTTCAAAATTATTCAATATATGTCATGAAAAATGAAAATTTGTGTTACAAATTAAAACTTAACCATCAACTTATCTAATAGATATGGAGTATAAAATGTAACATAGAATGTTTATTATTTTTTATTCAAATATTTTAAAAGTAATTATGTAAAAAAGTTTAAAAATTATAATGAAGGGTACAATCTAACAAAAAATTAAACTTAGGGGTAAGAAACGAAAAAAAGTTGTGAACCGTTGATATAACATATTTAGCAAGATATTTCTAAACAATAATAATCACAACCAGAAACACGATATTATATTTGAACTATTAGTCATCAAATAATAGTTTAATAGTATATGTTATTTAATTAAATTACATAATACGTAAAATGTTTGTATTTTCAATTATCAAAATTTGAAAAATAATAATTTTTAAACCATGCAATCGACCCAATTTACAACTTGTCTTCTGTTATTTGACTACATACATAGATGTAGGATTAATTTAATATGAAAACGAATAATTAAGCATATTAATTTTACATCTTAGAAAAATTGTACATTGTTTAAAACAAAAATTTAATAAATATATTTTTAACACATTCTTGTGTTCTTCTATGTTTTGCTTGAATGGAGTTTCAAATAATATTTTTTTTAAAAATATCATTGAATAAATATAACATGATTCATTTATACATAAACATAACCTTTACACACATTATACCGAATAGCCATTTGAGTTAATTAAAAGCCAATTTACTTTTACATTTCATTGTATAAAATAATATTAATATATAACCATGAAATAAGTCATCAAAGATAAATAAACCTATAAGACAATTTTAAAATACTTTCACTACGGCTAGGATATATAATATTAAACAAAACAAAATTATGAAATAAAACGCATTATTGCATACAATTATATGATTTAAAGTATTTAAACACATAAAACTTATTTTTGAAGGATAGATTTTATACATTTTGTATGCATACAATTATTTTAGGTCTTTTTATTACATTAATTATAGATTTTTTTATGATTTAATCATATCCTTATTTTAGATTCTAAAGATATTAAATGCAATCCATTTATAAATATGGTGACTTCGATTATAGATAGAAAATATTACGAAACAAAAATACCAATTTCGGATAACTACAGTAGCATATAAATAATAATATGGTTGCTTATAATATATGTGTATTAGTATGTGTATACACAATCATTATGCAAATTTCAATAGATTGAATTTAAAAATATTTAACAAAATTCTTTTGTTTTGAACAAATTAGTTTTTTTAAATGTTAATATAAAAAGTAAAATCCTTTATAAAATCGAATGGGAAGTATGAATAGCTACATTGAAAAGAGTCGTATACCAGTGAAATTATGTGACCAGTTATGGTTACCCTTACCTTTCTTGTATCATCTCGTTAAACGTTTTGCTCCTTTTCCGGAACCCATCGTCCAACCTATCCGTTTCAAATTTCTTCACCTCTACCAGTCGCTCAATAATGTGCTCCTGTTGTTTTCTCCTGTTACTTTTCCAATTATCCAAGTCCTGCAAATAAATATAATAATAGTGTAATCGTGATATATATTATAAATTAGTCTATAAATATACATAAATAAATTATATCATTATTTTAGAATGATAAAACACGAAAAATTTACCTATTTTTTTAAAAATAATATTTATTTCAGACTTTTTTTATACTAGCCAGATATTCTTGATTTTTGTTAGATACTTATGTATAATTTAAGAATGAGATTATATAATTTAAAAGACGGTTGAGTTTAATAAAACTAACATGTACTTATAAATTATTAATTAACTAAAATTTTTCAAATCATTAATACTTAAGTATATAGTATATTGTTTTTATTTTTATCATTTTTTAAGCTAAAATAGTATATTACATTTTAAGTAGTTTATACATAACATAATAATTAATTTATATTATAACAGCAGTTTACCGATTGCCAGTCAGCATCAAATTCTTTTGGTTTTGGCTTGACGACCACTGCAGCCGTTTTGTTCAGCTGATCTTGCGCCGAACGATAGAGATCAGACGGTGCCAGCTTGACAAACTGCAGTGGAGCCGGTTTCATGGACGACATCATCGGATCACCTATAAACACATAACACACCATAAATTAACAATTTATTATATTGTTGAAATTGCAATAATTTATAATCTTTAAATGAAACACGTGCAACATGATACTTATATAATATCGTATAATAAATTATAACCACGGAAATAATTTCGCAAATTGAAAATCTAAAACAAAAAATTTGGATGAAATCAAATATCAACACTGAAAAGCAAACGAAAAATTATAGGTCGTACCTATGTAGGTACAACGCGATTTATACACGCATAGTACTCCAGATATGATTAAAACTTATAATATTAATAACAAGCAACTATGTAGATGTTTCACAAGATATCATTTTCGAAGTGTGCGGATAGCATAACAAATAAGAACCATTTAAAATATTTACTGCATCATATTAAACAATTGAACGTCGATCCCGAACAAGATCTACACACAGAAATGTTGTATGGGGCGATGTTATATACATTCACCCTACATGCTTGAGAACATTTCTCTCCTTGTATTTTAATAAAACATTTATTAATTTTATGATGTTTATAATTTCATTTTTAATACAATTAAAGACACATTTTTTAATGACTAAATTTCTAAACTATTTAATAAAAATTCTATGATGATACATATTTCTTTTAAATTCTGATATATATACGTATATATAAATTTTAAAATATGTAATTTTTTTTTAATTTTTTGTATCTGAAAGTACTTTTTCTACCAAAAAAAATTCTCTAATCATCAATTTTAAGAAATATTTTTGAAAGTAAATTAGATTTATTTTTACTATTTTGGTTAGTTAAATAAAGATTATTCTCAATGTTTTTTAAAACAATTGAGAAAACAAAATACGAATATTATATATGTAGTTAAAATTGTATTATTATTATCTTATCAAATCTTATGTTAACTAAAAGTTAAACTGTCTTCACTTTGAATCGTTTTTCATCGTATTCAATGATCAATCATTAAATTCAAATTCAACACATTTCTTATTATTTACTATTCAATAACGAAGTACACGTTCTACACCTAGTGTACAGCAGAGCGACAATTGATACTCGCATAATATTCTTTATTTGAAAATTTTTTTCTAACCTTACAGTTATAAACTACTAAGTATTATTCTTAGACCTTAATGGCTTAATAGGTACAGAAAAATTTAATGACTTAGAAACAACTCGTTAAAAAAATTCAATTTAGGAATAACTTACATCAAAATGTTCAAAAAAAATCGGTTTAGTACTAAATAAATTTTATTTAAAAAGACAGTTCTCGAATGACTCGAACAAAAAAGAAGCATGTGTCACTAAAAGATACACTTTGAATGATGACATAAGAACTCCAAATATTTTAAAATATTGTCCTAAAGAATAATACTTATAAATTTCAAAAACCATATTTTGAATAGGTGAAATTATCGAATAAAAAAATAGGAATTAAAAGACTTAGACTTAGTCAGGGGCGGATTTAAGGCACTGCGAACTATGCAGCCGCATAGGGCAGCAAATTTATGGAGGGCGACTTTTTTTTATACGCAATAAAATTGTATTTAATATTTATTTTATTCTTGTACCTTCCTATAGAAAAATACTTAATTTTTTTCTTAAATTTTTCAATTTCAAATAAATAATTAACATTAAAACTACTTATATAACCAAATAATTATTTAATAAATTTATTATTTTTTTCTTGTTTAATAAGAATAAAGAGAAAATACTATATTTGAATCAAAACGTTTTATATTGAACTTTAGTTAAATGAAAAAAATAATTGCATAATACATAAAAAATATTATCATGTAAAGAAATTTTGTTGTACAAAGGTGATTTTTTTTTAAATAAGGGTTATATTTTTTTTATTTATTTTTTTTTTTTTTTTGACATAGAGGTGGAAAATTGTTAAATCCACCCTTGGACTTAGTATTATGTTCATAAAACCTGTACTATAGAGCCGCCGAATACATCACCATATTAGTGATACCTACACTAGGTATATTATGTAGCTAGTATAGCTGTGCGCTTAAACTGACTGCAGTAAAAACTTATTACATCAAGTCCAAAGCCTTTCTCTATTCCACGTAAGCATACATAATACACAACACACATTGTCCATATTTACGCACTTTTGAATTATTTTTTTCCTGGTCATTCCATGTGAAGATAATATATAATATATTGTATAGGAGCTAGATATACCCTGCACACGACGCGTACGTGTCATTCACTCCGGGACACTCGACACGTTGGCCCTATATGTAGGTATATAAACGGTATATATACCGTGACGTAAAAGACCACTCGATAAATTTCGTTGCTACCTCGAGGGCCATTGAATCGACAACCTTGTATATGTCGTACAGTCAACTAGTGCTACGGGTATATAATATATAATATTTAGTTGTATACAGTATAAATGCATGTCGCTTACATGCACATTAAATTATATTTTTATTATTATTATAATTACACACAGTTATTATAATTATTATCTATACGACTTTTTTTTTTCACACCGTCGAGACGTAGGTACCCACAAACACAGAGGTGATATATACATATACTGCAGGTGATATATGAATTAAACTATTTATTTTTTTTCAAACCACTTGTATTATATTATTATGATGTAGGTACCTACGTCATATTATGTAGTTCTTTATATTGAAAAAAAATAAATAAATAACCACAGTTAAACACATTAACACATTCGGTGGGTGTAAAATCGTGAACGTTCCTAAGGTATATAAGGTTTTATTTGTCGCACGCATGCATATAATATTTATACATACGATTACGAACATAATATAAGACCTCGCATAGTGTCTTGATTAATTGGACTCAGCTGTTCGTGTAGATACAATAAAATGTAATATAATATAAATATTATATATACGTATAAGTGCCTTGTCAACTGCAATGCATTGATCACGTTATTTTTTTTTCAATATACGTACTGAAATTACACATATGAGCGTATTACAGTGATGATACCACAACTTAACACTACTACGTTCAAACTAAAGGATATTAGATAGGTAATATAATGTAACTATCGTTCGTAGTGATCTGAGTAATTGTAGTACCTAAGTAAAGTAAAACCTTAAATATCTTATCATGTTTATTTTAAATCGTTATTATAGTGGACATTTACACTAGGTACCTAATTGTTATACATAATATACATCATGTATAGAATCCAGCAACATTTTTTTTACAATTTGGAAATGGATTTAAATTGTACACATTTCTTAATCAAAATGTTACTATTAAAATAATGATGTATATTTTACCAAGTCACCAAAAAATTCATCTAAACCAATTTTTATGTTGAAGGAGTGTTTCATAGATTTGAAATTTGTTAAAATATTGACAAACAACAATAGGTTATAAAAACAATTAACGAAGATTTAATTAATTTTCGTAATCAGATAATTTTTAGGAAATCATGACAAAAACTAATAATTAAATAAAACTGTATAGGTATTAAAATATATAAAAAGTAAATAAAGTCTAAGACACTATGCTGATTTCCAAGGTGAATGAGCGAGACAAAAACTAAAGTTCCCACTACCCAGTCACTGTATACTGTCCGTAAATTTTCTTTTATTAGCATCCTACATTCCTATTAAATGAAATATCGTGTACCTAGTATATTGTATGCTTGATTGAAAACAGATGATTTAAAATTTAAATTTAACCAACGCGTGGCAAAACAGATTAATTAAATTATTTTAGAAAATAATAATTTTTTTTTTTTATGTGCACTTAATCATAATTTTAAACAATTTAAAAACAAAATAAAAATGTACAGAATTTCTTATTTTTTTAATTCTTAACATTATATCTTAAATTTTATTTTACATTTTAATATAATATACAGTACACGCATAAGCACATAGCTGCTATAAAAACAAGTTTCAACAATTATACATATATATCATTACACTTTTAGATATTGTAATTCAATATTATAGTAATCGTTCAATTGAATTTTAGACCATTTCAAATTTTAGAAAAGAATTATTTTAAAAACAAACTGTTAATCAATACATTAATTATATTTAAATAGGTATTGTTTTATAGATATAAATTCATTTTCTATAATACCATTCTGCATGCTCATAAATAGTTTATAAAAATGAACCACTCAAGATACGGTCATTAACGAGAAACTAAATTATTATAAGTATGATATCAAAGATAATATTTGGTGTGTTATATAGTATTATTAATTATTTAATAAAATTAACATAAAAAATGCCTAAGTTTAATTAACATAAAAATAACTGGTTTTAAAATAATAAAAACGTTATCAAAAAAAAAATAAATAAATAAAAATTCTACGACATATTAAATATTGTAACCTTCTTTATTATGTATTAATCTAGTTTTTAAACTATAAAACTGGTTCTGTTTTGCGCGAAACTATTTTGCAATATTATTTCACAACTACCAAAAATGGTACTGAAATAAAACTACTTGTAACTTAGGTACTTTAAATTAATATTTTATTTAAATAAATTATATATTTATACACCAATAAGCTTAAAAATCAGGTGTGTGGTGTTCTTTTAAAAAATTAAAATAACCTATTTCAGTAATAATAATTCATCTAAAAAAGTTTATTAAATCCAAGAAAATATAAAATTTTAAATAAATTCAAATAATTTTTTTTTTCATTAATTCATTACGCGACCACTATTAAAATTTAAATATTTACCTTTTAATAACTTCTTAATGAGATGTGTTACATAATTAATACATATATACGACAACGACATTATCACGGTTGAGTGTTTTCTTTTCTTCGAGTTTTAGCTATTTTACACGTCGTAAGTGCATTATTTAAGATTATCTAATTATAATAAAAACTCAAAAGTGCATGCAAGCTTGATATTAATAAGAAGTTTTTCATGCATAAAAATCTATTTATTATATACTCATAAATCTACTTATTTTATGACTTTGTATTAGCATACTTATAGATAGATCATTTTTATATTCACAAGTTA